GGGGGGAGGGGGGGGGGGAGGGTTAAGCAAAAATTGACTTTTGGGGAGAAAAGATTATCCATTTTCAAACTTCATTTTTTTTTTTCAAACTGACACACCTGGCATAAAAAGATCCCACATTTCTGTAATTTTCTTTTTTTCGAGGTAAATATATATGAAAGTACAACAGCATGGTAGCAGCAGTGACTATGAAGACAAGGAATCATGCCTACCTACAGGTGTATCTAGAGTTTAATCTAACGTCACAAATAAAGGCCACCAGTTCAGACAATCAGATCAAACAAAGCTCTGCTTTTTTTAACTGTAGATTTTGAATATGCTAGCCCTATTTTTGGCAGTACGCCAGAACGTATCTGTAATATTAATATGCCTTATAAGAATATCACTTTAACACAGGTAACAAGCCAAATAATAAGCCAGTCAAGGCTATGTATTTTTTATTTTCATAAGCATGCAATAGAATATTAACTTCTTTTGTAGATAATAAAAACCCAGAGCAACACTTCTGTACACACCTAACCCTTCCTTAGTAGTACTGTTAATGACTCATAACACATTACGATGATACACATTTTACTCAGCAGTGATAATACTGCAGTTTTGCCGATAGTAATTGTGCCAACTTTCTTACCTTAAAGGCAGTACTGCAATGCCATTCAGTGCACCTGTATCATCTCTGAGCAGAGAGTAGGGCAGAGTGAGAGACAAAGACACCAGCAGCCTTGCCAAGAGCAGGCAAAACAAAGCAACATGTCTGCAGAATATTGAATCAATCTCCTCTACACATCACAAAAAATCAATACACTGCAAAAACTGTAAACTCTCTTTTTCTCTGCCCTTTATCAAAATGCATCAAAAGATACAAGAATCATGAACACAAATCAATACACAAGCCAAAACAGTAAATTCTTCCCCTTTTATCTCAGAACAATAACATGTTTCTTAATAAACAATCAGGTATGCAATCACAGGTCAGATGTCACATGACCAAGGGTCAGAGGTCAGAAGATGGTGCAGGACCACTGTCAAAGGTGGTAAGGGTTCCAAGCGCTGTCACTGATGTGTAGAATTACTTGAATTACTTGACAAATTGCAGTAAACAGTGCACATAACAAGGGACAGCAGGTGCCTGACCTCCATTTCATTGTGCAAATATCAACTACAATTTCCCATCCCTGCCAGGCTTGGATGACTGAACAGGGATTGCAGTCTTGTGAAACCAAGCAAGAAAACCGGTAGAATGATAAAAGATATGGAACAACAACAGACTGCTCAAATATACATTATGGGTGGCCTGACTCTGATGATTTTAAAATTCAATAAAATTTGCGTCAGTAACAGCTTACTTGATTAAATGAAAATTACATAGTTTTCTGAAACAGAGGAAATCATACAAAAACAGAGCATTCGACTGTACTTCGAAATTCCACAAATGTACCATGCAGAAAATGTGAAAAATAAATTGTAATTTTAGTACCAGGCTCTCACTGCTCTAACTAACCAAGGTACATTAGGCAGAAAGGTTAGCAAGGAAAAGAAGACAATATGTGAAGTACTCTGTCCCTTATCTGAAATGAAGGTGAAGGAGATTTGCCCCTGGGTAAAACTAAGGGTTCAATACTGGGCTAACTTATTTTGATAAATTTTGTATTAAATTTCATTTCTACCTAGATCACCTACTTCACCGATGAAATGAATAAATCATAGATTGTATCAGTGTCAACCTCTGAATGAGGAAAGAAACAGCACGTACAATCAATTGTCATAAGTTTAAAGGGAAATCATTCCAATAAGACTCTTCAATATAGCATCGGGTTACCTTCTCCAGTTACAGCCAAGCCGCCTTGAATATACAATGAATGCACTTTCTGATCCAGAACATTTAAAACACATCAGTTTTCAAAGGAGTTTGTTAGAGACTAAATGGTTAGCATGTGACGTTAGGACCTTCCTGATCTATCTTTTATCCATATTTATCATGACATCCACACCCGTTTCCTAAACCATTATGCAACTCCTATTCTTTTAAAAATAGTGTTACAGATCTTTTGTGTGTAAATAATATGGATGCATGAGCATTTTCATTACAGTTTACACAGCATATTATATCATGGTTAATTAGTTACAATTCCCTTTTTTTTTCAGAGCCAGTGAATCTTTTCAGTTCCGTGGATTGGTAGTTGCTGGCTCAGAAGTTGAGACAGATATCAGCAACCCAGTCCCTGTATAATGTTATACTTTGATCATACAAAAACTGAAGGTACCTTGATTATTCATGACAAAGTTTACTAGTACCTAGCTTCAAATGTTTTTTTTTTTTTTTTTAATATATATATTTTTTTCATTTGATTACTGAAATGGACAATCTTTTTTATCTTAATTTAAAATGGGATTTTTTTTCTAATTATTGACATCTGTTCAAAGACATATTTTCACATTCGGTCATAGTAAGTCCTCTATTCCTCTCTGAAAGCCACTATCACAATAACTAATTGAATTATTCATAAGGCCTTGTCTGATCAAATTCACAGAAAAACAACACTAGACTCCCTGGTAAAAGAACACTTGTCCACAGAGGATTTCCAAACACAAATCTATACACTGGCACTGTCAGCCTCTGTGCATTAAGCCTCTCACAACTGCATAAAATGAACCAGTGAAATGAATTAATTACCTTCCTGTATTCTACAACTGAAAGCAAACTCTTGCTTCCACAGCACACAATACACTTCCACTGAGAAACAATCCTTTCAGACAGTCAATATCACGACACTATCTCACCTGGAAGCACTCATGGTTTCTAATTTTCCAGACTTCATTCAGGCTATTATATTTGTTTGCACATCTTGAGCAGTGAATACCATAGAATAAAGGACCATTAAAACTAGCCAACACTCTAGGGAATGCAGTCAAGGTAAATTAATTAGTGCAATTCTTGAATAAAGAGATGCTTCAATCCACATTTTCAGCTGTGCTTTTGGTCTTTTGTCCTTTGTTTCTTTGTTAAATAATACCGATGTTTGTTCTCCTGAAAGCTTTTATTCTTGATTCAGAAATTCTGTATCTATAGATAATGATGGGTTTTACAGGTAACTGTCACAGAAACAAAATCTTCCCTTTCCAGATCAAGCCATACCTTGAATTATTAATGAGTGAAGCTGATTCATGCACCAGCTAATATAATTATTATATTATAAGCTATACACATTTATCTCATTATACTGCAGACAGACCTCTATCCTAATGGAAATCAAAGCCCAAAGTCTCATCATGCGAGATTCAAAGAGATTTGGAAGAGAGTCAGAAACAACAACAGACAAGCAATTGCAGTGTGGCAATGGATGTACAACAGTATGTACAGCAGTATGAATTCAACACATTTTGTGTGTCATTTTTCCCTTGCTTTCTAAGATGACCTTCTTGGCAAATTAAATTTCACCCTTATTGCTGTAAAGTTAACCCCACCTGACATCGTGGAGTGCTCACCACCTTGTTATGGGTTGCAAGGATAATTTCAATTACAGTTTCTAATGATGGTGCAGGTTAGAGGTTCCAGAACAGAAATAGTGCAATATGTACAGTGTGGGGAAGAGAGGGAGGGACCACAAACTCAATGTTCTGTATTGCTGTAACACCTGACTCAAGATTACCATTATGCAATGATCTATTGGATATAACCAGAGTATTTCACACTTGGCACCCCATGATAATATAAGGATATGGTCAGTAAGAAGAAAAAGAAGAAGAAGAAAAGTACACACGTTCAGTGTGTGGCCTCCTTTCTGACCAGGTGCCAAAAGAAACAGTCCTTGTCCATAAGTCTGCCTGGGCCACTAGACACCACTCTTCTTCTTGTCTACAGCTCTTTAGAGTATCAGTTATCAATTTTCTCAGATAGATTATCTTATATGAAATTGATCTAACAGAAAATGGATCAAAATAATAATTCAGGATCCAAAAGAAAATATATATGTTTACTATATCCCTAAAAATTTATCAGCTAAAAATAAAAAGATATAATTTTCTTTTATATCTGTTCATATTTTTCTTTTTTGGGGAAAAAAAACAGATGATCCTGTCTCTATGTTATCCAGAGTCACTAGGGGGTCAAAAGAATAAACTTTACCCCACATCTGCCCTCTATCAAACCAAGGAGTTATAACAGTTATAACTCCTTGATATCAAACTGCAGAGTTTATGAATAATTCTCCACTGGTGCTAAAAAGTTATCATTAACTACAAATTTAAAGCAAATTATTCTTAAAAAATTCATAATGGATCAGAAGTTAAATTGCTTCTGTCTTGTCAAGTTGACCATTTTTATCAACTATGATGCATGAGTAAATTCCCAAATAAAACATGTCAGCTGTATCTCTGACTGGAAGATATAGCATGTACTGAACTCTTGACACAAAAACATCCTCTTGTCCATTCTTCCAACCTAGTGAAGGGAAAAGTCTGCAACTATGTGATAAATACGTGGCATAGCAAAGTAAACCTATCTCAATTGATCAGTGATGTTCCACATTTTACACATAAAAGCCCTACAATCAAGTTGAATCAAGGCAATCTTCGGCACATTAATCTCCACCCTACATCACACAATCTGAGACCCCGGTTCTGTTTTCATAGCACATTCAATACCAACTTAATTTAATTCTCTTATATCAGGAAAAAAAGAGAAGGAAATCCTTGCAACAAACCCTATCACTTTGTTATGTGATGGATGGCAAAGAGCACAGCAAGAGTTCTTGTCAATAAATTTATGGCTTGATGCAATTATTTATCACTGACCTTTGAAGAAAAAGATTCAATCTCCACAGCTGAAAGCAAATTGTAAGACAGCTATCATTGGAGCTAAATTCAACAAGGCCTGCTGCCACACAATCCTGATCCTATCAAACAAGAGACAAGTTGATACACATGTCAAGTCAACTTTGAATACTGGAATGCATTCCTATCTATTGCTCATTACATAAGGGTCATGAATCTTAAATCTTGCAATTATTTATCACACAAATAGCACTGAACATACTGCAACAATAGAATGGTCAAAAATTATCATTCTGTTGTACTAAGTTACTAAAATCATATACGTATCTATCTGATAATCTCCATTTCAAACTTTCAATGGGCCAGACCTTTTATTTGACAATTAATTTCATCATAAAAATTACATTTATGTCTTGTAACCCATCTCTCTCTGTAAATCTTTGTTTTCACAAAAAAGCCCCATTTCCAGTTAAGTTGGGTCCACTTATCTTAGTGAGAAACACTTCAGCAGGGACTGAAAATGGTACTGGACTGAGACATTAGCCATGACTTTCTTGGTATACAAATTGGTGCAATATTTCATTTAATAGTACTGCTACCTACTGATCTATCTTCAGTCAAAGTACACTAAAATCTTAGTTTAAAAATTAAAATCAATTTTTGGGGTTAAATTCTTTTTTGAAGAAGGCCCCAAATGTCTATATATGATTACCTAACCATAGGCAGCACATCTTATCCCTGTGTTGTCCACCACCAATGTCACAGCTTCCTATGGAGGGCAAATTACAAATGGACTTTCTGTAGAGATGGGTCAGATAGAGTTCTCAACTCCCCAACAAAAACTGAGAAGTGTCAAACAACAAGGCAGCCCAGATGCACATATAGTTGGTAAAATGATATGTTACTCTACCAACTGGTCTTGACAGGCCCAGTGATAGTCGCAGGTGAAATGGGATAATAAATTTGATAAACTAGGAATTAAACAGATAATTTATGTTGACGGTGAATCCAGGGTATCTTTTCTTTGTTCAAAATGTGCTTGGTTAGTCTTGGATCCACAGTGTGTGTGTGTGTGTGTGTGTGTGCATGCATGTGTGTGTGTGTAACACACATTTTACAAATGGTAAATCTTATGATACCCCTTTTTAACTTACTGCTTTTTTTAACTCAACACTTTTGCAAGTAAAAACTAAGAGAGGGGATATTTAAAGTGCTCTTTCTTTGCTCAAAGATTTAGAAAGTTGTTTTTAGCATTTGGTTCTCACTGGACCAATTTCCATCCCCTCACTTCCTTATTACACTGGCAGCGTGACTATCTATTATGAACGTTGGATATTTTCATGCTTACTATCCAACTTGTCTTGTCACAAAAAGTTTGTAACAACTATACATTTCTTTTAGTTAAGAATTTACTTAGCTGTGTTCAGTTATTGGTTTGAGTTCTACTTAGAGTTCTATAATATATACACCAAAATTCTAGCACTTGTCAACCCTCTCTCAGTTATTACCTCCGCCAAGGAGGTTATGTTTTCACCCCTGTTTGTCTGTCTGTCATCAACATAACTCAAAAAGTTATGGACTGATTTTGATGAAATTTTCAGGGACTGTCAGAAGTGGGCAAAGGAACAGATGACTAGTTTTTGGTGGTGATCTGGATCAATAATCAATCAATAATCAAAAATTGCTGCCTTGGCAGAGGTCTGCGCTCTCAGAGTGCTTTTCTAGTTAGTAAAGCCTTTACCTGATAGTGCAGTCAATCCCTTCTCTCTGTGTACTCCCTCTAATAACTCTTCCCCCCCCCCCCCTCAACCCCATTCCCATCCCCACCCCAGAACACTCACCATCTCACTGTCTTCCTTGTATTTGGCCAGCTCTCTCTCCAGACTGGCAATGTGATGGCGCTCTCTTCTGCTGATCTGCTTCTCCTCAGCCAGCTGCTGTAACACTTCATGCATTCTCGCCTCCAGGAGCTGAGGGGAGATAGACACAGAAATGCAGTGGTCACAACAGTGTCAGTGTGCTTTGTACAAAATTGTGTTAGGTGTGACATTGTGTTAGGCGTGACAGTGCTTTTCAACCACACAATGTCATTAGTGGAAAAAAAGGCAGTATTTCATGTGTGATCTTTAAAGTCAATTATTAAGTTTGCCTGGAGATCCACTTCCTCTTTTGTCTGATGTTTTTCAACACTTGCAACTTGAAACACTTGAAACTGTCATTATGCTTTGATAAGTGAAGTATGGTTTGTATGTTGCCCATTTTCTCACTTGGTCTCTATTCCTTTTTCTTACAAATATTTTTTCACAACTGCTTATCCTGAGTAAACTTATTTTTCACATTACACTTTCCATCCAAGCACCAATTTCCACCCTTGCCCAACACATGGCCCATTTGGCTTCTGATCACTAAATATTTGTATTCCAAGTTGCAGCTCCCACCTAAACAATGGCACATACCTAGTGGCTCCAAAGCCCATGATTTAAAAACCTTAAATGTCTTATAAGCAAAATTAAAAAAGAAGAAGAAAAAAAAATCCATTTTTTACTCTAAAGAAATAAAGGTTGAAGTAAAATATGTTTTAGGAGAGCTAAGGAATAATAGCTCACCTTAATGTCCTGCTCTGGTGAATGAAACCCTCGTTCATCTGGCTCAGAGTTCCTGTCTGTGGTGCGGGTGTGGCTCTTAGACCGGGGACGTCCTCGGCGAATCATCTTTACTGTATTGTGTTGCAATTTCTTAAGACTGTAAAAGAAATTAACTTTGTTCAAATAGATTCACAAGGTAAACATTTAACCATTATCAGCATGTAAACTAACAAATTGTGAATACCCCAACAATATCTTACCTTTTGCAAGTTTCAAACCATTTCTGGGTTCTTACCTTCAATACTAGTTTCCCACTGTTCCAGTGAATCTACTTAAGAATGACAGATTATTTAGTTTCTATTTTAACAAAATATTCATGGGTCCAGTGTACAGTGACTGTGCCAAGAATGGACCTCTTCATAAAAGTCAACCCTCCAATGAAATTAGCAGTATTTCCCCTCAGCTGTCAGCCTGCCCGGCTCCCAAGTACCTCACGTGTTCTAGTGTGGCCTTGCCTTTCATCTTCACTTCATAACTCAATAAAATACTTGACGTTTTTATATATTAGATCTGGGACTGGGGCCAGTGCGCTGCATGGAGCCTAATTTAGGAAAAATGCCAAAGGCCTATTCTGGTAATTGGTTGATATAGGGTCAGTTTTTTCTTGATTTGTTCTCCTTGAAGACCAGATGGCTGTGTTTGACAATCTGAATCATCTCTGCCCCCAACACTGCGGTGTTAGCTAAGACCCTTTATGTGCCAGGTTGACTCCATGTTTGTGTAGCAAAATGGTATGTTTATACCCTTAGATCTTTCCTCCGACTTCTTTATTGCCAGTCAGACAGAGAAAACATGCTGTTAAGTCAGATCACTAAGCCCGTGTTTATCTCTCCTTTCTGCCAGCATAACATCACATAACCTCCGACCTGGCCCGTATTATTTAGCCTGTGATCAGTTATTTCCTCATAATAAATAAATATATGTAAGTGTGAAAAGAATACATTCCAAAAGAAAGTCTAATCAGTCCCCCACTGTTCTCTTATTCATAGTACCATTTAAAGATGTTGGGATTTACTCCTTGACTTTATTCCTTACAACCCACCTTGATATTCCCATGCTTCAAGATTTCAAACAACATACCTGTGTTGACTGTTCCATTATGATGACCAGACTTCATCTTAGATCTTTGCACAGTAAATTACTTATACTGCTCCTACCCCATGACAACCTCTGGATCCCCTCTTCCTTCCCCCAGGACCCCCCCCCCCCCCCGCCAACCCATCAATCTACATACACAATAATTTCTATGCTTTCTTCAAGAACATTCTAGCAAGACTGCATTCCACCTATTTACTGGGAAATCCAACTTATTCTAGCAGCAAAAACTGTTTCATTATACAATGCATGACATACTTTTTGCCAAAAAGTGAAAATCAAAATTACTCCAATGCCCTACCAGTTACGAAAAACATAATACTCGTACAAGCAGTGATAGAGCTATATACTTATATCAGTCTCGAATTGTCTGTAAGCAGAATCTTCTCCAGTAGGCCTCTCTCCCTATTCCACACTGCACACAGTGTGGTACAATCTCCTATATCTCCTAATGCAATAGAAATGTCACAGGTTTTTGGAACAGTAAACTCCCAAAGCTGAAAATTTACCAGTCTCCAGTGAATTACTGAATAAATTTTTGACAAGTAGCTCACAGCCCTGCACTCTTCAAATATTGTGTTGCATCTCCACACAAAGGCACTAGAATATAGATTGTCTTGTCAGGCGATGATATATTTAGGAATCTATTTTTTGCATAAATTCATCTGGTGGGGAGCAACAGTTTATTTATCATTCAAAGCTTAATACAATTTACATACCATGTTTTTTCTTCAAATCTCTATATTAGGTTTGTTTTTCTCTATAACTAGTCAGAAAAATCTCTATCATATAACATAATCACATGGTTTTATGTCAAAGGGCTTCAGATACATATACATTAGGATAAGTGACAGACCATCCCAAATAATGTGTGAGATATGTATTTCATGTAATACAGGAATCTAGGAATGATATACAACTTGTATTTCCATCAAATACACTTAAAGTATCCCATTATGATCCATTATGATGCCAGCCTTGCTTAAGCAGTGCAATTTAGCTGACACTGCCATTGAATAGATTTCATAATGGAAATACTCCCATGCCATAAAGATGTCAGTTTCTTCAACAGAGGGTTTTATACATAAAACTCAGGACTGTCAGGTAAAGTTAACCTGTGAAATTTGAAAATGACTCATTTTGCTCAGACATATAAATACTCTTATTTGTTGAAATAGTTTTCCAATGGAGATATTGCTTTATCAAGATAATAACTAAAATTTCAGAATAAATATCTGGATAAGTATGATTTTATGATTTATATTATGCTTACTCTATTATGACTTTAAACAAATGGTAGAAAAGGTAAAACTGTCTTGATGGTATTTGTTTTTGTTGATAACTTTTCAAATCATTCCAGATTTGCTCCCATATACAAGTTGGCTATGTGTCAAAATATTTTACATAGTATACATACCATGATAGCCCAAGTTAACGTCAACATACTTAAGTTGGAGAAATGAATGCTAGATATATGCACTGACTAGGTTCAATTCAAAGCAAACAAATGATGAGGTTACATCAATGTGTAAATGTTCTTTAATTCTGACAGGAGTCAAGGCCTTCTTGTTACATTATACAAATTTGTTAGATGCAACAAATGGCTGTTTCACCAGGGAATTATCTACGATATATAATTCCCTGGTCTCACGAACTTTCTGTGTTGCTTATTGCTCATAGCAAGGCTTAAAGTTCAAAACACCTGACATGCACTAGTATTCATCATAATTCATAAACAGCTACATGGCAATAGTTTTTGAATATCTAGTTTTAACGAATCATTATTTTTTATTATTTATACCACTTCATTATTGTAATTTGAAGAGTATTTATGTCTATAATAAACATTAATTATGCCCCAAAAAATCTGATGCATAAGTAGTATTAAACTGCATTTCTTAAGTTGTTTTGAGAACATAATATTTGTCGAGGGCCTTTGAACCATTAATTAAAGGGGACAAACATTGTTAATACATATATGAAGTGATTGTGTTTGGAACATTTAAAATAGTTTCTGGGTCACAAAAAATTGGGGGAGGGGGGGCTAAACAAGGCAATAAATTTTATCTTTTGAAGACTTTGTGACTATGGACAATCATGCTGCTACAGATGACATCCATTCAGGTTGAATGACTCACAAGTCTAAAATTAACTTGAACTGAGTCCAGTAATATTCGTATTACCTGCTATCCATTCAATCTTGCTTAAATATCCAAAAAATGCCCTGTTTGCCTCAGAGGCCACTTGTGTTTTGAAGTTATCTTAATTAAAAACTGCTCAAAGATTATCTATGGAGTTTGTCTCAGAGCAGTCTTCTTATATAAGTATGAGCATTGTATTAATTATGTCTAAGACTCGAGGCCCAAGAAACTTATATTTTCTGGAGGCGCTATGACACTGAGGTACAGACCACATCCTTTTCTAATTCCCAGTGGTGCTGTAACTACTTAATATATATATGAGGTATGTTGTCTGCACAATAAACCCCTAGCAAAATGAACATTTGAAATTTAAAATTTGTTTTAATTTATACTCAACAATAATAATTTACCAATTATGATATTTATATAGAGTCTGAGTCTATATTATACTTAGTAAAGTTAATTCAAAAGAGTCTGTGACTGCCAAACCCATGTTCTCACTCAACAAAATATCAATATGTCTAGACTAAATGCTGAAGAATATCAGTTGGCAAAGTCTTCGCCAAACTTGCTAATACACCAAAGACTTCATAAATACATTTACACCTTGAATTTCTTCTTCACTTCATCAAGTATTAAAATCAATATCACTAAAGGATCTGAGAGAAGCAGTACCAGGGAAGATGTAGATTGGTTGGAAGCTTTCCAGCTTTAAAAAGCATATACTCCGACCTCAATCAAATGCTCCTTTATATATTACCTACAGGTAATTACAATAGTGAATTTGTAAGTTAAAAACTCAGGCGTTACAACTAATCCCACGCTTGTACGGAGAGCAGACGTTTGAGCAAAATGGCTATCGTTATGAAACACGAGTATGATTATTTACGTTTTATTTGTCCTTTTCAACTAAAATCCAAGTCTACATGCGACATAAAAATCTAGAAGTCAGTGAGCCAAAGACGATCAATACTTAGCAAAAGTTTTAAGGCTTCAAGTTATTTAAATATACAGTAAGTCTGTGTTTATTCTGTCCAATATTTTTAAACTAAGTTGACAAATGATTTCTTTCGTGTAAAGAAATTCATTAATTAAACATCTTGGTTGTTCTTCAAACATTCAACAAATGTCAGTGTCATTTGGTACACTCACTTCTCTCCTCGTAATCGTCGTACATCTACGATTCAATATCTCAATACCTGCAAAAAATTAGATGAAACCGACCCCATACACTCAATTTTACCTTGGTAATATTTAATGAGAGATGATATAATACTCACTTTTTACAGTTTGATCAACATAAAACTAGAAAATGTTCCGATTGCAAAGTTCTTCGAGCAGACCCCACGCCGCCATGTTGACTTGATCAAGGCCATTGTGCTGGGTGCGACAATCATTGCTACAAATTTACATAGAGGGCTCAGCAGTTGCAATGTCTTTTTTTCAAGTGAAAGAGCAGATATCATATGCAGAAAAAGCTGCTAGTAATTCACGGGATGAATGTAATTTATTCATTTTTTAAGAATTCTATTTCAATTGTAGATTTCAATCTAATAATTAAAATAAATGCTTTTGTCAATTCATACAAAATAATATCTAAACGTTTTTATACAAAAATTGCATCATTGCAAAAAAATAAAAAATAAAAGATGTTGTTAGTTTAGATCTGTATCTTTAAGAAGTTTGAAAGCATGCCATAAATAACAAAAAAAAAAAAAAAATATATCATGAAAAATTCCACATGAAAGCTAATATTTTCACATGAAAAAAAATTTATGTTACCTCTTAAAAATCAATATTCCCACATTTTACACTGCAATCTAACTTACATATATCAAAAGCGCATACCAATGATAGGAGACACAAACCATTTGTGAATAAAAATATTTTTCTTAGAATTTATTTTCACATATAAAAAAAGAAAACTTGGGAGCTCTAAATTGTTTTTAAAATATGCCAACATCAAATAAGCCCTAATGACTGGAAATAATGAAGTCCATATAATAAAATTTAATTTATTTGTTTGGTCAAAACTATACAATATGGACAATTAACCACTTCCAGAGTTTTCTGCTCCAGCACAATCTGCCATCTCATTTTTCTTAACAAATTACAGTCACTACAGATAAAGATCTAGCCATTGAAATGTTGAATGGATACACTTGGAATGGATGATCAATGGCTTTGCTCTGTCATAACTTTGACATCTTTTTCATCTTTCTCCGGTGGTAAGTTTGGAGAACCTGTGACATACATATCACCAAAGATGTCCTTCATATTTGTCTCACTTCATGTCCTGTGCAAGCTTCTGTTGGTTTTCTTTCCATGTGGATATAATCACTAATTCTTAGTCTTTATGATAGTCTTAAATTTTAAGTAATTTGTACTTTGCAGTGGTTTTAGCCTCTAGTGTATTTTCCCCATATGTGCAGCATAAAGACAGAGGCAATGAACAACAAACTCATCACTAGCACTGGAACTGGGCCTCTGAAAATGAAAGAAGAAAAGTAAATATCTTAGACATAAAAAGCAGCACTTATTAAAACAACTAAGAAACAAATTCATTTTTTCATTACATACCGAAACAGAAGATGTTTACCTGGCACAAAAATTATTCTGTTCACCCACATTATACCAATAACATTTACCTTTTGAATAACTAAGTTTTATATAGAAATTCTACATACTTTAAAACATAGTGTAACATTAAAATTTCCCATATAACCCGACTTGATACTTACACTTTGATTCCTGGTGAGTCCTCTGTATAAAACCTCCACATGCCAGCACTGCTACCCATGGACTTCTTCACTGCCCCACCACCAGATGCTGGGGTCTTTCTGGAATGTAAGCAATAATGTATAAGAATGGGAGTTGCTTCAGTTTTTGCTTGCCTCATTCTAGGTGATATTTTCTTTTAGAAAAAAAATTTTTTTTGCCTGATTAAGGAAAAATTTGATGAAAATATTTTTCAAATCCAAATAAGAACATGTTCAGCATTAGACTGAAATCTACTATACTAGGGCCAATTATGATTTTTTACTTTTTTCTTTTATTTGCATTTCAGGGAAATTTTTAGTTAAGAATGCACAATTCAGGATTGTGATGCACAATTCACTATTTAAGCAAATATCTTCGACAATACTTGCTTTGATATTCTTTAGAGATAAATTTTATTCAAGCTAATGATAAAGGTTCCTTATCTTAGAATAACAAAAGAATAGGCCCAAACATTACAATGAAGAGTGCTATTAGTATACTGATTGCATATCTGCATTCCTGTTCTTACAAAATAATAATGGGAGAACAGATAATCACTTATCTTACAACCATTACAAAGCATGATTTCACTTGGTAAATTACAGGATTTTAAAATGACTATGATGTTGAGAACAATCAAACTCTCTCTGGTGTACTTATGCATATCATCCTTGGAAAGATACATATTCAGTGAGTAATCATGTCATATCACTGTCACTAAACCTAACCAAATGCCACCATGTTTCAAATGATTTAACTTCAAAAAATACGAAAGAGTATTGTTACATTATTTAGCTCAAAAAAGATATTTTCACATTTATTCAGGCCCATAGCCAGCAATTTCAAAAGGGGGGTTCTTTTTTTGAAAAAGTGGACCTTTTCCATAAAACCTTCATGTACCTGGGCCTGTTATTTTTGTGTTTTAAAGACTGGAGGAAAACTAGATTAAATTTTCTACCAGAAATTTGAAGAAAAGGCAGTTTTCAAGCATTTTTCTGCTGCTCTATAGATTTGTTTATTCAGTTTGGCATGTGGACCTTATCTGAGTTGTGCAAAAAAAGTGGTACTAATATTTACACTACAGGGCATTTACTCTTGCTTTAAATAATTTTTTTTACCAATGAAGTTATACTTAAAGTTACACTAAAATTTCTGATTAATTATTGGATTTGATTCAACTTCAGGCAACATTGGTAACACAAATATATACAAGAATTATAATCAGTCACAAATGTTAAATGAAATCAAATGACATGGGCCATAAAATTTCTGGCTGATCTATATTTTTCTAAAATAATGTAAATCTAACAAACTATTTACCTTTGTCTTACTGTGCTCCCACCACCAGATCTTGGTGAGACACTCTTTGATGCTGATGGGGAACGACCCCCGCCTACAGATGTGGAACTTGGTGAAGCTGGCTGTAAAAAATAATACCCATGATTATTTTAAGTGCCAAATGCTTTTTTTTCCCCTATAATAACCCAAGCTTATGAGAACGTTTCACACCTTATGATGACTATTTGGTAGTCCACTAAAACTGTACTAATTCATAAGATTTAATATAAGTTTACACCAATGCATTGCAGCCACCTTTCAAACGTTTCAAAACAGTTTCTGCCTCCAAACACTACTGACTTCTACGCTAATAATTTAATTATAATAACTTAAATATCAAAATGTTCGTAGAAACAATTTGAAAAACTTTATGTCAGTGAATTCAAATGTGCAACGTGTACAATTTAGGTTAGCTGAGTCTCCCCATCTGTGAATTCAAGATGTGTAATTTCATACTATTGAATTGAAACAATTAAACATACAAAATATGTTTTTCTACAATAAAGAGATCACCAATAACTAGGAATACCGTCAAACAACCAAAAACATAGTTCTTTTTGAAAAAAACGCAATAAACCTGGAGCGATCTGCGACACTCACCATGTTCGTTTCTTAGTCCGTTCTGAAAAGGATGTGACGAGGCAAGTTGAAATGGAAAGATTCTATCCAGCGATGCTAACTTTGCATATTATCTGATTCACTGCCTGAAACGAGGTTGTTGGTTGCCTTTGATATAAAGAAAACGTATTTTATACTGTGTAGTACTGATCCTACGAATTAGGTACATAGTGTGCTCGAAATACGAAACCACCACATAAAATATTAAACGTAGGTTCTTTTTAGAACAAGCTTGTCTTGATTGGTTTGTTTCATTTTTCGTCATAATGGAGGCGCAGTTTTTGATTTTCATGCGAATTTGCACATTTTTCATGTTTTTGTGGTTTTGACCTTTGTTGATCACGTTGCTAAACTGAGTCATGGTGCATCTTCGAAGTTCAAGGCACAGGTTAGATAATATATCCTCTATGTGTACCTTATAACGCCTCCATGGCGAGAATTGTGTGACTCTTTACAAGTTAGACAAGCACAGCATTGGTCAATTTTATTTTATTTTATTTTAGCCCTGTTCTGTTAATTTACCAGTGGTCCAAATTTGTCACTTTTATAATTAATCGATCATGAAACATACAATTATATTTTATATGCCACTCCATATTTTTATTTTAAATTACATCTTTGCAAATATTATTATAATGGAATCAAACACACAACACTATAAAAAATACATAAAAAGGTCTTTTCATTAATCACCTGTTAAAATATAAATGAGAAAATATTCAGACATTTTAAGATGTTCACATTTTCTTACAGGGTATTTATATGCCATGGTGGTGGCTATTCTGTAAATGGGGACTGCAAAGTGGAGACCTGGCAAAGTGTTAAACAAAAAATTGTGGAAAGCCTTGGGAACAAAGATCACATAGAAGAGGAAATCATATTAAATGCCAAATTACAAGTAAACAGCCCACTTTTTGTTTGAGATTTTATTTTATTTTTGTATTTTTATAAAGATTGCATGTAAAGGATGAAAGAAGTTAATACAGATTTATAAGTTCCACATGTACTGGTGTATATAGTATTCTTTAAATATGTATTTGTATGTTTCTTAACAATAACATGATTTTGTATTTCATCTTGATTCATTGTTACTCTCTGATACTTTCCAGTTGAGAAAAGGGATGTTGAGAGAGTAAAGCATCACATCAAAGATTTTTCTGATAAATTTCAGCTTGTGCAAACTCTCCGTGTCTCCAGCCCCATCAAATGTATGTCCATGATGCCTGTAACCAATGGTAGTATATTTATTGCACACCATACTGTTGGGGTAGACTGCCAATTCAGTTCATTCTTTTCAATGAGAAACAACAACTCGTATACTGCATACATTGCAAGGTATGCACTGACCTGTGTTTTTGTGTTTTTGAGAGTGAGAATAAATCTTGCACAGCTTTTATTTGCATTGTAACTGTAGTAATCTTTTATAGTTTATGTAATAATTTCTTCTAAAATTAATTTTATGATAAGATTTTAAATATTCAGACATTGCATATATTAATGTTAATGTGTCTGGTAATTTAATTATTTGATACCATACTCAGTACATATGATACTCTCTCCTTGATATTTTAGGTGCAAGATCCCATATGAAGTCACAAACATAATGTTTATTCCAAAGTACAAGGTATTCATTTTATTTAAACAATTGGGAGTATTAAAAATAGAAGATATTTGATATATTTCTAAGAAATATAATTTTTATTCAAGACATCATGTATTCTAAAGCTAATTTCTATCACATGTTGACGAGCTAAATTAACTGTGATACTGTAATTATTATTATTATTATTATTATTATTATTATTATTATTATTATTATTATTATTATTATATGTTTTCAGAAGGTTATTGGCTTTTGTACTGACAACACGCTCCGTGTGTTTGATGACTGCAAATATAACTGCAGAGAACTTGCTACCACAAGCTGTCAGCATTCTGTACTGAGGTGGGTACCACAGGTGCACTTACAGTGAGCATGGACACTTCACTTAACACCTGTAGCATTTTGTATTCATTCATGCTGATTGGAATGTGCTTCTTACTAGCAATGGTTAAGTCTTGTACAATGTAAGTTGTTTTCATATGTCAAGTACAGGTAACAGCTATGCCAGTCTTTGATTCTTTTACCTTAAGAAAGAATAGATAAGCCAACCCACAGTTATTGTGTTAATTATATTGTGCTGATCACATTTAACATAATTGTGTATAATCTTTGACATCTAAAATTTCTTTGAATTGAAAGATTTATTTATATGTACATTCCTTTAGCCTTATCTATAATGCTGATACAGATGAAATTGTTGCTGGTTTCCGTGGTGGAATAATGCGCTGGAAGATTGGAGGCATGAAGAAGGTGAGATGAGAGAGTTTTTGTAATAAATGATGATAGTAATGATGATAGTACATGTATATATCATGCAAATCTGTATAGTTCTTACCAAAGTTTGAGAGTAAACATCTCATGTTTCTCAAGTATAAGTTACTAGCTGGGTTTAATTATTATGATATATGGGTTATTAAATCAGGAGATATGTTAATTGTAGTTTTCTTTTTTTCCCAACACTACATGTAGCTATTGAAGCCACTTCAGCCTGGTGAGCCATTTGAAACCAATATTCCTGAAATGGAGGTTAGAATGCCTACATAGTCAACTCTTCCTATACATTATTACATCCAACACATTAATTTAAAATTCAGAATTGCCCAAAGCATTAGGCAAACAAATAATTGCATCAAGTGTTTTTTTAACGTGTGTGCTCGTGTGTGTGTGTTTGGGGGGGGGGGGGGGTCATACTGTCAAACAGTATCCTGTTTCCAAAATGTACTTTTAGTTTTCTTTTTGATTTATTTTAGTGGGTTAAATCTGTGCAGATTGACAATTTTGGGAAATATATCTTAGCAACCAGTGAAAATGGAATATTCATCATAAACTACATTGTAAGTAATTGATTTTTTAAAATGCTAATGGGGATTCGCAACAAATTCCATAGTAGAAAAACAAGTTACCCCCACCAAACAGATTTTAATTAAGTTCATTGCTTTTATATATGAAAACTGATGTATGTACAAGTCAATAGTATTAGTTTCATCAGTTGTGTAGTAAGATCATAGTCACAGTTCATTTTTTTCAGAAGTTTTGAAATAGAAGTGAAAATTAATTATGACTATGCACTTGTTTAATTTTTTTATTTCATAGTACAGTTTTATGTGCTGCAAATTGTATAGTAAACTGGGCTTTTTTTTGTTGTTGTTGTTTTAGAGTGGTAAACAGGTAGCTTTTATACCTAACAGACATCAGGCTTCCTTGACTTGGTGAGATCAGTAATTATGAAGGTTAATGTAAAGCTTTGATTGTTTAATTTTGAATTGTTTAGTTTTACAAGGAAAAGTCATCCTGTGATTTTTTTCTTAATTGTGAATTAATTCCATGAATTGATCAAGCAAAACATATAACTGTTAATAACAGTTATTGATTTCAGACAACATTATTGCTGGTTATTTTATAAGAAATAATTCTCTTTTAGCTTTGCTTTTTACAACCCACTACAGTATTTTGTCACAAGTGCAGGTGATGGCAGCATACTGGTGAGCAAAGTAAAACCATAATAGTGCCGTAAAAGATACAAAAAAACATAATTTTGATTGTGGATTTAGGCTGCAAGCCATTTGCAAGTTAAACAATACTAAATAGAATATTGTAAATGATAATACATGGAACTGCTATTGTTGTTTATATTACATTCATGTTTTTCATTCAGGTGTGGAACTCAATCTTGTTTAATTTGGTATCAGAGCTGAAGGGACATATCAAAAGTGTGACAAGTAAGTGCTGTCAGTCAGTGTATTAAACAATTTGGCTTCTAAAAAATGCATTTTAATTGCAGATGGAAAGGATACTAAGGAAAAATAATTTGTTCTTTTAGAAAATTGAAGTGTTTATCACGAATTAGTTTTCAGTTTTTTAATTAATTTGACAAAGGAAAAATATTCAGGGAGTCTCATGTAGTCATTGCTGCACTTCTTGTTTAGTTTTGTTGTGGATATAGCCAGTCTTAATAGATGTGAAATATAATGTCAGTCACAGGCCTGCACATTAGTGGTAGATGTGAAATAGTACACATTATTTAATAAAAATAATAATGATAATCTTTATTTGCTACTAAAATACCCCGGTAGTTGATTTGTACAATAACATAAATCTTAAAATTCACTAACTGAAATAAGATTAATAAAATTGTTCCTTAAAAGTTTTAAGATGAAATAAAACATTTGGTACTCTTGAGGGTATTCATATATGCAATCCTTTGTCATTGTCTTTGTCATTGTCCCCTCAGGTCTGTGTGTACACTCCATACAACCCCTGTTGTTTTCTGCCTCCAAGGATGGCACAGTCAGGGTGTGGAGACTGGACACTATGGAACTGGTAAGGCAGGTTGTATAACACAATATGATGCTAGTTTTTGGTTTGGTTTAATTTTATAATGCAACATTGTAAGGTGATATTGAAGACCCCGTAATTATATTTGGTAATTTTTTATATAATTCAAAAGAATAAATTTTTTATCAAATGATGTCATATTGTCTGTTTTTTGGATTCATTTTCAGCATCTTGACAATTTAGCCAGTTTGTCTGTATCATTCAGTTAAAGAAATATTTTCACTTCAGTTTCAGCGCCTTGATGTGGCCAGTGAGGTGATCTGGATGACACTGAGGGATGCAGGGGAGCTGTGCTTTGCCACAGTCAGCAGAATTAGGACATGTAAGCTGAACTTGGTAAGTTTTCTTCTCAAAGTTAATATATACATAGTGCTTAGATATATTTGTAGTGACATTAAAATAGGTAGACTACAGTCTTGTCTTGCATTTCATTTTTAGCATGGCATTACTTATTGCTAGTTCTATTTCATCTTGCAGTTCTATCAGCTGTTTACCCCTATGAATACCCCAGTCCTTTCACTGTGTGCTGTCAGGGCAGCAGGCTACCACTCTAAGATATTAGCTGTTGGAGAGGTGGGTAGAGATCTGCTTTCATTACATGCAGTCCATGATTCTCTGCCATGCCTGCACTCTGTAATGGTCTAGATACCGTTAAGATGAGGAACATTGCACTGTTTTCTTTTTCAAAAAGAATTGAATTTGAAAAAAAGGATTAATTTATTTTTGGTAAGCATGCTGTCACAGTTTAAGCATATACATGTGAATAGTGATACTCTGTAGTGTACATTTTACTTTTATTGTTTTACTTTTAGGACTGTAGCGTGCGGTTGATATCCCCTTGCACTGGGAAGACCATCACATTGGTATATCCATTGGCAATGTTACAAGTAGGCACACATCTAGTGTTAGTTCACAGTATTTTTGATATGATAATTATGATAATTACAGAATAGAGTTCAGTGTTTATTGGAAGTTTTTATGAATTTTTATGAATTTTTAGAAAAGATTAACTTTGTTTCTGATAATGACTTCTTATTTCACAAACAGGATCTTAACAACTTTTTAAAACATTTTCATGTTTTTCTCATTAAATGCAATTTATATACTTGTTGTATTGAATTCAGCCTCCAAAGGACCTTGTGTATTCCAGCCATGACGCCCTTCTTTACTTTCTGATTCACACTGGAGAAGGTATGGATCTACTTGAAAAAGTGAGAAATGCTTTTGAAAAATAATTAACCATATAATGATGGTGGATGATTGTACATGTATATATTCAACTAACTCTATTAAATAAGATAATATATACCTTACATGTAAAACAGCAGTTATATATCTTAATGGGTTCTCATTATGATAGATATGTGCCCTGTAAGTACAGTGGTTTATCAAAAAGCTCATATGTAGCACATTTATACTATGCACTGTGTGTATTTTTTTATTTCCAGTTGTTGTATTTGACTGTACACACAATCCATGTTTGCCCATTGAAACTTTAACTCCTGCCAGCCCAGATGAGAGCATCACTGCTTTAGCCTTGCTTAAATTAGTAAGTATTTTGTTTTCCGAAAGCCAAATCCTGAAAACTTTTCTTCATGGATACTTAATCATCAAATGAAATGGGTTTCAGTAAATAAAAAACCTTTTGGTATGATTTGATAAATTCAGGTAATATGTATATTAATGTGTAAAGTATGAATTTTTTGAGGTGGAATGTTTTGTTTAGTTGGCTGCTTTATACAGTAGTGTTTTAGGTAGAAATTTGAAGTGGCCTGTTTTCTCTCTAGGATTGTGCACTTGGTCAAAAAGAAACCTTAAATTGTCCACATTTGATATTTGCTGGTTTGAAAAATGGGCAGGTAAGTTGTAAGTCTTTTATAATTTTTCTTAAGGTTTTCTGGATAGAAAAATGCCACATAGGTATATATGGATGTGTTTTGTTGTCTTCCATTCATATATAGCAAATATATGTGCATACAGTATTACAGCCATATTTATATAAATCTTAACTTTTTTTGACAAATTAATGTATCAAGACATTATTACTTATTATTTTTAATAAGAAATTTATTAACGGTTTAATACATCATATGACCCCACCCACCCACCCACCTACCCTCCATTCCCTAACATGTACCCCCAGTGGCACTCATCCCTTGTAACCAGATATAACCTCCTATATTTCAGATCTCTCTCCTGGCAGCCAGCTGTGGCTACCACATGGCACACCCAGTCCAGGCTCACTATGGGAAGATCACAGGGCTGAGGGTCTCTTTCAGCTCCCATACAGAAGGCAGTAGGACATTGGACAAACTGGTCTCATGTGGCACAGACCAGCAGATTAAAATATGGGAACTGGAGGTGAAAGGCAGACAGCTGGTGTCTCTCTTTTCCTTGAATGAGGTAGTGTACAGACCTGCATGGATGTTTGACATTAAAATTAATTTGTGTCACAGATAATGAATGTCACGCCCTTGCTTGTGGCATGATAGTGCACCAATTTCTTAGGTCTTGAGAGGCTTTTCTTTGGGCATATGGCTTAAAACTTGTTAATTTTAATTTTTTTTTCAATTTTTGTAATTTTTTCTAGTTTTTGTTTTCACTTTGATCTTCAGAGGTATGGAAATTATTTTAACAAGTAATCATTTACTAAAAACATTTTGCTTGCTTCTTTCCTGTGTCTACTGAGCATATTCTTTAATCTCACACTCTATTCTATTATTCAATATCATTTTCTTTCTCTTCTGTGTTCCATTCTGCTTCTCTGCTTTTCCTCTAGCTGCACTTTGACTGCAAGCCCACTAATGTCACACTGTCTGGGGACACAGTCTGCTTCACTGCCACACACTCTAGGTAGCACTGTCATCTCAACTGCCTCATCCCTTTTATTGATTTACATGTCTGTCTTGTGGTAATGGTTGATAAATGTTACATAGTGTCTGTTACTAATATTGATAGGAACAGGAACTGATACACCTACTCTACTTTTTTCCCCTTTTTTACTATGACAACACATTTTGAAATGAGTTTCAATTAGAGCATGAGTTTCTGTGATTTTATGTCTCGAGTAAAATTGCACGAAGGACCAAAAAAAAAAAAACAAAAACATAAATGTTACACCTTTATTATTACTGTAAATTGCCACTGTTTCCTCTATATATATCTATTTTATTTATAATTACAGTGTGTTAAGGATGTATTGCCAGTCTTACGTATGTGACTTAGCAACAAGGAACTGTAGTGGTCTTATTGCTCAGATACCTGACCATGAAGAGGAGCATGTGCTAGAAGTAAGGAGTTCTTCATCAAGTTATGTAACTGCTTTTGTAGTGTCAGATTAACAGCGTTTTTCATCTATGACAGAAATTGAAATTCCTGTTGAAGTAACCTGCAGGAATGGATTTTTCTTTGCATGGTAGCTAGCCCAGTGATTTAAATAATGTCTTCACACAGTTTTATAATTCAATTGTGATTGTTTGTTTTGATGGTCTTTATTACATGTTGCAATTGAAATCTTTATCTAGTATTAACATTATTTTTAATCAATGTATGGTGTATGGCAAACTGTTGTTTTTAATTAGCACCCTGTAAAAAAATCCAAGCTCTGTGACATAATATACAAGAACAAAAAAGTTGCCTGACAACCCTTCATGATAAAGTGTGAAACTCCCAACATGGACCATACCAGTTAAGAGAGATGACAGATGATTACATCCTGTGTCATAAAAGACCAGGTTATTATCTACCAAAACAATTAACCTATTCGTTGTCAGTGTATGCTGTCACTGTTACAGATGATCTCGTAGTGAAGGTTTTTTTTATGGTTTATATTTTATATTGTAGATTACCAGTGTGGATTGTTGTCCATGGTTGGAGCTGTTTGTCACTGTGGCTAAAGACCACCACCTGAAGGTACGGCCATACAGTACACATATACTGACTTAGGACATTACATTTTTGAGGAAAAAAAAAACAATTTTGTGTCTCAAAAATGAGTAATTATAAATAAAACTGAATAAATAAATGAAAATGAATAAAAAATAAAAAAAAGTAATTTCAACAAGTTTGCTAATAAGGGTCAGGCAAACATCAATCCTGTAATTTAACTTTTATCATTATGTAGTTATCTAAGAACAACACCATTGATTATAATATGAAAATGTTTATTTCAATTTACATTATTACACATTGAGAGCCATTCAGAATTTAGCTGATTATGAATCAACATGCCATGTTTTTCCAGCTATGGGACTATCATAACAAGTTGGTGAGGGAGATTGTGTTTGATGCCTCCCTGAGAAGTGCCTGCTTTGCCAATGAAAGGGGAGACCTACTGGTGGGCTATCAGAACCACATCAGGTAAGGGGTCTTCCTTAGTGAAATGTTGAACTGAACTGTACTCACATGTACACTAAATAACCCAAGGTGCTTCAGAAGTAATGTTGATAACCTTGATCTTGGATAATAAAGGTTCACGCAATAGGCATGAAATTGATTAAAGATTTCCAATATTTTATTCAAATGCTTTTGACCTGACATCTCCAGCTTTTAGTGATTCTTAAGAGATTCATTTTTTTAAAGATAGTCAAAATTCACTGTTATACATGCCTGTGTGTGTGGGCATCTGAATTATTTAAGTTCCTGGAAACAGATCACTTTTTATACCATTTCTTCTTTGAAGTTTGTGACACCTGATAGTTAGAAAAAAATTAACATAGGTAATCAATAAAAATGAACCAGATCCTTTTCGAAAACAAACCTCTCTATATTCTGTTAGGACCTATAAGGTATAGCTTCATTTAAAAAAAAGAAAAGAAAAAAAAAACTAGTTCTATTGCTGTCAATGTTTCTTCGAATTTTCAACCAAACTAGTTCTTTCATTTTTCCATAGCTGTTATTTAACCAAACATTAAAAAAATAGTGAATGAATCAAGTTGTTTTTCTTAGTGTATTATTGACTCTTCCCCTGTTTTTAACTGTATATATATGAACAAAGCAGTGTATTTTGTTGCCTATCAATGCCTCATACATGTTTAATGAGGTTCCTGGCCCTGGACGCTTTAGGGTGTGACGTCCAATCAGTGGTCAATATACCAGCATAACACATTGTACTATATCACATCTGCCCTACCAACCACCACAACAACTGCTGGACTACTGTACTACTGGTAAAGAGAGTAAGTTCATCTTTTTTAAAAAAATTGATTTTTTATTTTTGTCAACTTACCAGTTTTGTTAAATTGAAATATTTGATACAAAAAGAATACCTCCTATTTATGCCATGACTGTGTGTATTTACAGTAAATGATATTATACAACTATAGTAGAATCTAATATGAGGTCCAATATAGCAATAAATAAGTTCCAACACATATCCTTTATTGTTGTGTTACACAGTAGTAATAGTAGAGGTGACCTGTGTAAAAGGTGTTCATGTTCAAAGTAGAGTTTTGGTTTCATCTATGTTGCATTTATAGTTCAAAGACTGTGTTGTGTGATGACTCTTAGAAGTGAATAATCAATACTTCAGGCCGAGATAAATTGAATATTTTGATATCTTATGTGATGAGCACATGTTTAATTGTATAAGAATTTTAGAATTAAAAATGTAGCTAAAGAAGGATAAATTCTGAATAAGTAATTCATGCAGTATGTTATTTTTATTAATACTGGTGGTTTTGCTTTAGTTTCTTAATCTTTGTTGTTATCTTGCTCCTAGAACTTAGAAAAGATGTGGGGATTATTATTTTTCATTAAAGAGTGCCTTAGGACAAGTCATCACTCGAGTAATAAAAGCATTGAGTTTTAACTTGATTGTTATTTGTTGTAATCAGTTGAATACTATGTCAAAACTTTGGTGATTTTTTACATAATGTAACAAAAAATAGATGCTTTTTTTTTTCGAAAAATTGCTCAATTTTTATATGCTATAATTATGGCTAGCATTCCCTCCAAAAGGTATCATACCTATTAAATAGCTTTTATTCCATTAACCAAATGACCAGAGAATTAATGTAAAATAATTCTTATATTTCTTGAATTAATTGAAATTAAGACAAACCTTTCTCTCTGGTTTTGAACCATGTTTACAGATAATTTTGAATTCTTGGATCAATGGAAGCTATGTAATCAATCTGAGATAAGATGTATCTCCTTTCAGGTTGAAGGAAATTACTTTCCTGTATTCTTAATTGAATATGTAAATTACAGGCATTCCAGGAGTTTGATAAGACCTGTGGTATATTGATTTCTAGATCTAAGCTGTTTGATAGTGACCAACATTTCCACCTACTGCTTTTGTTACTGGTTTTAGTATAAGCAAAAATCTGACAGCCTAACTTAAAATGATGCAGTTCAAAGTTTAACTTTTTTCTTTTCTATTTTTTTTTTATAAAAAACGTATCAATACAGTTAAATTCACCATTGAGATTTTATTTATTGAAATGGATTTTGTGAATAAAACTTATACATTTTACCTATTTTCATTTCAAGAAGCGAAATTCTTAACATCAGAATATGATTTTCACTTTGATTTACATAGGTAAAATTGTCATTTCAGTTATATCCCAGCAGACAAGTACCTGCCTGTGCAGTACCTGGAGAAATTAGTAGAGCTGGAACTTCAGGTATGGTGTTTTTTATTATACATCTGTCATATTTCCTGGAGAAATAAGCAGAAACTGGGAAATGGGTTTACTTAAATGCAGCCATAAAGTGACACCGATAAAGCGCCACATTTTGAGTGTTAAATATATATACTTGCTCTGATGGTCACCAAAGTTGCTGAGTAGATTGTTTTTTTCCCTAGTAATCAGTATTAAATTTATAAGTAGTTTATTGATAGTTTTATGCACTTGGTAAAAAATGTTGATTTGATTTTTTTTATAAGTTCTAATTGATATTTATCGTGTTTGAATTATTTCATTAAATGAAATAATTACATACTGACATTACTTACCTTTAATTGCCTTTAGTCATTTTATCCTGCAAAAGAAGATATTGGAATAAGTAGCTGCATTAAATTGTCCAAAATGACTCAAGGCGCATGACTGCTATGAGAATAAACAGTCATTAAATATAAGTTAAACAGATTGTTTGCAGAAGGGGTTTTAATAGGTTGTGTATATATGAACTGTAGTTTTTCTTTATTGTCAGCAGTTAATTGTAGTAAATGTGTCTCATGCTGTAAAGTGTTGTGTAGCGTCTTTGTTGGCTGTTATTCCATAGCGGTTACTTTGTTTCAGCCATAATAAGCCAGAACAATTAACAGTATAACATATGGGCTAGGCCATCTTGTGTGCTGAAATAACATTTTTATATAAACTGAAAAAGTTGAATTGATATGATTTATTCATAATTGTCAACAAATGGATCCAATTTTGATTATTTTTGAGGATTACATGAAGAATTTTAGAAATGTATCATTGATTTTTCTGTAGAAATTTGTCATGGTTGTCTCAGTCTGTATATCTCTGTAGCTTTTTATTAGAAGAAATCCCTCATATATAACTCTTGTTTACATATATTGTGCATGATTTACAACCCACTAAATAGGTGTTAAAAGTAATAATAATATATCCAGTGAAGTTTGGGGCACTGTTTATGAAAACTACGGTTAATTTGGGTGCCCTTTGTTGGGACAGAATTGATAAATTTTCTTCATGCGTAACATCCAGGTGAGCTCTTTGACCATTGCTGTATGCTGTGAAATTCCTCTAACAATTGGTGAAATAAATGCTGGTTTAGTATTAGTATTGTGGGGGGTTCATGTTGGGTAATTGAATTCCCCAGTGTAAAGTGTGTTACAGATTCTGCCCAGTGGTGATATTGTGATCATGGAAACAACATGAATGCTCTGTAAAAACATGGATGATATGCAGAAATTGAGAACTTTTTTATTTGGTTAGTTTTTGCAAGATATCTATGAGGTATGGTTACTTGTGTTTAATGCAGCTAGTAATTAAAATCTGCATGATGTTTCGATTACATGCACTATTGCAAGGACATTATACAATTTTATAGCCTTTTCATGCATAAACAATAGGTATGGTTAAAGATGTTTAGAATAAAGGAAGGTCAACTTGGTGCATTCTTCACCGGTATATATGTATTTTTATCATACAGTCATTGTGCAGTAATCTGAAAGAAGAAGATGGATAGATTCATATCGAAATATCTGGTTATCAGCTTCAGTACAGAACACCTTTTAGCTTTTGGTTGATATGAGCATGGAGCCCATGATGAATCAAGCTGCTTAATTTGTATTCATCTTAATTTTTTAAATTTATGTCATTTTATTAGAATAATTGCAGAGATCTTGTCAGCATAGAAGTGACACCAAATTAATAGTGTAGTTTATAATGCATATGTGTACTTTTGCAGGATGATGTAATAGAAGAGCCCATTGCTTTTGATGCCAGAGTACAGCTGAAGTAAGTACTTACTATAGTACCATTCTGGTGCAATTGTTTTACTTTAAAGGATACAAATATCAGTTTGTGGTCTAAACTTAGGACTTGTTTAGATCTTATATCTATTGACTAAAAGTTCAATTGAATGTAATAGAAATCTGTCTAAATATTTGAATCCTTTTGTATATTATTATGAAAAAACCTATTTGATATTTTGATAAATATAAAATTCTTTTCAGATTAATTCTGTAATCATGATTCAAATGTGACAATTTGGAGGGCACCCAACAAAAATTGAATTTTTTCCTTAGTTTATTTAGAAAAGAATTTAGGTGATCATAATCCCAAGTTCTGATTAGTAATAAGGTGAAAAAGGAAACAAAAATCAATGTATATAAGATATATAAACCTTTACCTAAAGGCTTATCTTTTTAAAGCCAAAATGCTGTTTGCCTGTCACCGTGTAATCTCTTTATGTATGTATCTATCTATCGCAAGAGGTTCAAACACTTTACGACAGTGTGAAGATATATGCACAAAGTGTTCTTTATGTCCATAAGAAGGGAGACCACAATTTAAAAAGGGGAGGGGGGGTAAGAAACTGCTAATTTATTATTGTTACAATTCATTTTTATTGGTAATTTTTTCTAAATTTATTTAACAGTGTCCATTTTATACAGACATCATGATTTTTTCCAACAGATTTTTTTTCTTCCAAAGAAACATGTTTTTCCTACCTTTGGCAATTTCAGGATGTTTGCTTTTCCAAAAGAAATATCCCTCCTTTGTGTATTTAATGATTGGTCATGTATGTTTATTGTATTTTACAGCTTTGACTTGGAGAAGTTACCAAGTGGATTGACGCATTTCACAAGAGACATTAGTTACAGTCCAGGGAGACAGGTAGACGTAGAGTGGGATAGCAGCGTGCTCTGGGAGGCCACTCAACTTGCACTGCCAGGTAACCATGCATACGAGAGACTAATGGTGACAGAAATTGCGCAGTAGAATAATGGGAAAAAAAGAGATTTGTATAGATGGCATTATATTGTGTTGTAGCAAATGTCTGCTAGAATTTTAGATATCTTTTATATTTGTGACAGCAAAATTGGCGTTTAGCCACCAGTATGGTCTTGGATTGGTATATTTAACTTATTAATTTTTGTTTTAGAATTTGTGTACATGCAGATAGTCCCTCTTGAAAGCTTTTGGTGTAATATTTTTGCGTTTGTTTTAAAATATTTTTATGGACAGGCATCATGTGTAAGGAACACAAACTTAAGAAGTAAAATTTGAAATTGTTTTTCCGTCTTATATTACAATTAAGGTTCAATTCTAATGCAGCCTCACAATCTTGTGTTGTGTTTATGGGCTGTCTAGACATTACAATTAGCTATTGAAATCTATACATGTCATTTATATACAGTCATCTCAGTAAGATATGACTGAGCATTCTTAGGGCCAGAAGTTTTTTTTTACCCATAAATAATGTATGATTATATTGTGTATGTATGTGTATCCTGTTGTAAACATGAGGTCTGTGTTATTATACTGAAGTTGTGCTGACTTTTTCCTGTTGTTATCTCAAGGTTTTTGTAGTGAAACATTTGTTTTGCTTTCAGTGCAGATTTACTAAAACTTTGTGGTTAATTAGTTTTAATTATTGGATATACTTTGGATATGGAGCATACCCAGAATAACCAACTGTGCCTATCAGTAGAAAATGATTTTTCAAGATGCTTGTGATTGCTGACTGAGAAGTCTTAGAATTTTGAATAAATTAAATGATGACAATTGGTTTCAAATACAGACACAGGGAAAAACGAAGTGAGAATTATTTTCCTGGAACTCGCTGAAGCATTCAAAGCACTTAAAAGAAGGTCATGTTCAAACATGAACATTTCCAGACCAATTTTGCAAAAAAAAAAGAAAAAAATTTTCCATTTTTAGTCATTTGTAGCATGTTGTATGTAAGGCTTGTTCATGCAATAAATAGAAAACCTGGGGACATCTTACCCTCAAACTTACTAAAGCATCACATAGCATTAAAATACAAGACACGCTTGAATGGCATTTGCAAAATTATCCTGTTGTTTCAGTTTTTTCAGTACCTATGTTTTTAGCATTGGAACCTTCTCAATGCAATTAATGTATAAATAAAAAAAAATTATTTTCCTCAAATTTTCTGAGGTGATTCATAGCATTAAAATAAGGATCAACCTGGAACACTGTCTTATCTCAAGTACTCATATATAGGAGAAGATAAAAAAACAGCTTTAATAAATCATTCTCTTCTCATTTTTTTTTTTTTTTGTGCTGCGGTCAAGTTGCCATAAATCTGCAGCATATATGTCATTATCTCACCTTAGACATTCAGATATGTTAAAGGGATAATAACTCTTCGTAAAAACATTGTGAATAACTCATAGAAATATAATATATTCTGTTTTACCACAAAAACAGCAGTAATAGCTATTATTCTGATATCTGAGCTTGTCTTTGGACCACGTGACCTCCATTGATGGTTATACTCTGTTATAATCTCTTAAGAGATTTTAACAAAAAACCAAACTTTTTAGAAAAAAACCAGGGACTAAATTTGAATGTAAAAATGGATTCATTAACCATTGGTAAGTATGGGAAAATTGTTGTTTACTCCAGGAAAATTCATTTTTTGGCCGAAACGAAGAGTTATTATCCCTTTAATAGTTCTGTAACTGGTATTGGTCTGACTCTGTACATTTGAAAGCTTTTCTGTATTGTTTTGTCTAGTGATAGTGCTTTTGTTCCTACTAAAGAGTTAGCTTAAGATATATTAACCTTTTGGGGCATAAGATTTTATTAAGTACTGCAGTTTTCAGGCCTCTTGTTTTGTCAATTATATTGTAATTTGTAGGAGTTAAGTGGAAATGAATGTAAGGCAGCCAAATCCATCAAAGGAATGTACTTCTGACTTAGTTAATGAAATGTTACAAACGGTATGCTAAAACTTACTGGTTCCCCTAATTTAAAACCAATTAAATGGGAAGAGCAGCTCAGAAGATCAAAGTGGCTGTTAATTCAATCTAGTCATTGAAATTAGATATTTTCTGAAGTACCTGTATGCTACCTGTAACTTCAACTTATAGCAGTTCATGTTGTTTCCTGATAAATATTCTGAACCTGTCATTACACAGTGTCAGATATTTTCTGGATTTTCTGGAAATTTGCAAATTGCATTTCACAAAATTAGCTTATCCAGCTTGCTTTATAAACATCATTTTCTCAAACACAGATAATTATATGAAAAGTCTAAAATACATACAGGTAAATGTTTGATATCCAGTTCTTGACAAAAGCTATATTTTTTCCTGCAAAGGAAACTGAATGCAATTTATATACATTATAAAGACTTGATTTTAAGAGATATTTATTCATCATTTCAGAGGAATTAGGGGTAGGTGGCAGCACACCATTCAAGCTGAGCTCAGCACATGTACATGTACCACGAGTGCTGCCCAGACAGTTGTATGGATATGACACAGTGATAGATCACTCTGTACCACCACCATCTACTGAGTGGGGGGAGGAAGCAGCAGACGACACTGACAAGGAGATGGTGAAAGAAAGCAAAGATGGAAAAGAAAAGGGAATGGAAGATGAAAAGAAAGTGCAGAAGCGAAAATATCCCATAGCACCAGATGGTAAGTCTTTTTCATTGGTTTTGTTATTGTTTTTGGCTCTGGCCACTCTATATGTAACATGTGAAATGTTCACCAAAAATAGACATTATTAAAGCTGACCAGGAATAATAACCACCCATTTTTTCTTTATGAATATTATGCCAGCATAACTCTTACACTAGAATAAGCAGTTGATAAATGTTGGAAGATCAAAATACTTTCTCTTGTTCTGTTTGTTTGGCAATCAAATCTAAAATAAAGTTATCTAAAGTTGACACTGTTTGGAAATCCTCAAGACTTAATATCTTATATATTAAAAACATTTTATATGTATTTATATAAAGTTACAGCTCTATTTTTTTCACTTGTTGTTTCAGGGTATATTCCCAACTCTGTGGTGCGTAGGTTGATACCAGGGTTTAGGACACAGCCAGATTTCCTGCAACTGCAGCAAGCATCTAAAGAGAAGTGGACCCTAGACAAGGTACTAAGGACATTGGAATAAATAGTGATGGTAGCAAGTGTGATTAATTAATTTATTTATATTTATCTATCTGTTTGTTTATTTTATCACTTTTTGTTTGTATTAAAAAATAGATGAATTGAATTGTGTACTTCATTGCAAAAAATATTTTTTCTCTTTCTTCTTAGTTCTATCTGTGTTGTGTGTTGGGTTTTTCAGTTACCTGTCTTCCAACAGAAAAGATTCAGAAGGTTGTGGGGAACCAGGAAAGATTCTGAAGATTTTCTGTCCAGAGTAGGTATTTTGGGATTTAAATCAATAGTATTTTAATTTTTGAAACCTTAGCCTTTCATTATTCTGTAAACCCATGCTTATATATACATTATTTATTTGTAACATGTGCATGCCTAAGATAGGAGTAAAATCTAATGGTAATTAATTTGAAATGGTCTCAATAACATTTAGAATACAGCTTATATAAAAAATTAATTGGTACAGTATGGTCAACTTATGAAAAAAATACATTTACCCAATGTTTATTGCCTTTGATCATAAACCTTTAAAGGCTAGAAAATCAATTAGGAAGCAAGTGAACAAGTTTAATGTAGGCAGCTTATTCACAGAAGGCATAGACCTAGCCCAGCTCAGATGTCAGGTGACTTAGTGAAGTGGTTGTATTGCTAACATCCTGATGAAACCACATGCTTAGTCACGTTTTAATTTTGCACAATTTAGTTACAGGAAGAAAAAGGCCTCTCTTTACAAGGTCTTTGTAAACTGTAGAAATAGATGGAAGTTTGTTTCATCTTTCTTTTCAAGAAAATCTAATACATATAATATGTAATATGTAATATTTTATTGTACACAAGTACACACTCAAGTTCAGCCTTGGTTGTGATGATACCAAACACTTGTTTTTTTTTTGTGTGCTGCACTCTCTCGTCGTTTTGACCTGACAGAGCACTATCATATCCACTGTTCGTTTTTATCATTTATTTCTATTTGCACTGAGTGGTCCTTTTTACTAGGTGGCACATAGGTCAACTGATATAATTTGTTTAAATTGTGATGCTTGAGTGGTTAAAAATCTGGAATGTTGTCATGTAGATTATGATGGATGGATTAATTTAATAGGTTTTATAGAAGAACAAGAATTTATTGATTGGTTTGAGGGTGATATTGGATCTTCGTTATATGGCAATTTGCCCTTATGTATATTGAATTGAATATTTACAATTGGTAGATTGGTGTCATCTGAGGTGAAGATCTCCCCCTACCCCCCCCCCCCCCAAAAAAAAAAAAATCATTTTGACAAAAATGATAAATAAACAGCTAATATGCTAAAAAAACAACACCTGCCATTTTGCAGCTAAGCAGGTAAAACGCGACTGCTAAAGCAATCAGCACATTATGACACACAGTCCATGTTCACACCTTATACAATCCCCACTCTATAATATTGTCAGTTCTTTTCTATCATATTTTGTACAGCATCAGATCTAGCAACAGCAATACCCAACTTTGTTGCATTGAACACAATGCACATATGTTAAATTGTAGGGCCATGTCTCACCTAATGCAATGTGTGTATGTCAAATTGCCAGTCAACATGTCACTCCTTACACAATGTGCGTGTGTCAAATTGCCAGTCAACAATCAAATTGTCATGGCCAACATTGCTACACAATAAGCACAAGATTTTAAAATATGTAGACTGTAAAACATAATACATGTGTGACTCTAATATATTCCTGACTTACGTATATGATAAGATATTTATATATTGTACAGGAGGAAGAGGAGGACAGTTCATCAGACAAACCATTCTTTTGGGATGAAGAGTCAGATGAAGAAGTGTCCACAGTTGATGAAGAGGTTTCAGCTCCTGACAGTGCAGCTTCACAGGATCAGGAGACAAAAACTGAACCAAGAAAATTTCTGGACAGTAAGAACAAGACTATTTCAGAGCTTTTTCAACATTTTGTAAGAGTGAACTTCAAGTTTTGTCAGATTTTCAGTTACTTCTAGCACTAAAAGTAATATTTCCACTTTAAGTTAGTGATTTCTTTTACTCTGTACAGTGTTTTATATTATTGTTTTCAGTTAAGCTGGGCAAATTTGAAGTAAACAAGGTTGATTGGAATTCTTTTAGAAGGAAAAAAGGTGTTTTTGCTGCAAAGGAAAAATTTAAAAGTTTACCCAAACCAAGTGATATCACTGAGGCCAAAGAAGAAGCCATTGTAAGTAGGAGAATTGTAGGTTTAGGTTTCTTTGATTTTTCCTTATATGATAGCCCAAGTAATAAATATTGGCATTTATAGTTGTACATGTAGTCTGCAAGGAATAGGTGTTTAATGAGAGTATAAGTATTGATAAGCATTTCATCACCTGATTATAAATATACAGACTAAATATACAAGGGAGTGAAATTAACTTGGTAACTACATATATTGAGACAATATATTATCTATGTGCTCTATTTTTGTACCTTTTGTTTTCACAGTATCATTGTTTAGTGCAATATTCATCTTTGTATTTGTATGTTTTCTAGGAAACCAAACCGTCCATACATGACCAGACAGCTCCTCAAGCTACCAAAGCAACCAAGAAAGAGGTGCCAGAGTTACTGGTCAAGATAAGCCGTGAGCCCTGGTTTCCAACGGGGTATTCTCTGACTGTGGTGGAAGTCATACGCGCGTTTAACACAATCACAGACAACCTCAGTGACACTCATCAAAGGGAACTCTCACAGTATATTGTAGAGATTTTTAAGTAAGTGACCAAGTGATGAAAAATTAATACATAGCACTATATTGAGCCTGTGAACTGAAAATTTAGCCTGTGAGATATACAAAGCTAGAAATAATCAGCTATGTGCTTTGATTAATTAAGTGATTCAATTAACATGTATGAGTCATGTTCTTTCTTCAATATATAGAATATTTATTAGGTAAATTGAGCACAGTGATTATTGTGGAACTTGTGTAAAATGTCATGGATGTCTTAAAAATTGTTACACCTTGTAAGGGTAATTTTTTATCTTTTATTGTGAAAACAGATCATCTTAAGCATACTGTGAGAGTAAGTATAGGAAAGAATTTATTGTAAGGTATTATGACTTCTTCAGGACCCTGGGAATCCCATATGTTTCCTTGGTGGACACTGTAGACAAATGTCTGGAACAGTTGGAAGGGTCTTCCAGGACTGCTGTAAAGAGAAATGCTGCTTGGGTGCTGGGAGAGCTTGGAGTGGACCAACAGAAAGTGATCACTGGACTGGTGAAGAAACTGCTGGATAGAGATGTAAGCTGAGTGTGTGTGTGTGCATGTGAGTGTGTGTGTGTGCGTGTGTATGTTTGTGTAGCAAAGGGTAGTGTTAGTCAGAGAGTTAAAACAGCACTTGAAAAGAGATTGTCAGACATTTGTGCCCTGGGTTATACCAAAGTATTAGAAGCAGGGCATTAAATATCAAATATACACATATTTGAGTAAAGTAAATGTTGAAATTAATAGATATATATTTCTCTTTTAAATCTCTATATAAACTATGCTTTTCATTTAAACCAATCCCACATAACACATTTTACCTGCTTGAGCTAAATCTCAACTAACGCATTGTGACTTTCAGGCTGGAGTTGTAGATGAATGCTTGACTGCCTTGAAGAAGATTAAAGGCGTGGAGAATAAAGCCGATTTGCTCAGTCTAATCAATAACATTGAGACCCTTAAGAAGCTGGACACCAGGCAACTTGAGGTAAAAATAGAATGATTAATAAAAAGCCATTAAATGCCTTTTGCAGACTTATGTGACCTGTGGTTATTACCAAGGTTTTGGGGATTAAAGATGTTCTTGATATTTTTGTACAGAAATGAAAACAAATGGGTTGTGTATATAATTATACTCTTTATATCAGATTGTCAGTGAAGTATTTTTACCATAATTTTACTCTTTTAACATGAAAGGAGCTGTATAAAGTTGTCAAAAGATTGTACAAGGTAATGAAAGGGAACATGTTTTTAGAAGTGATATTCTTTTTAGTTTATGGCTATCTTCATTCTGTGCCTAAAATGAAGGACTTGAATGTGTTTTTGGCGGAATGTTTTTCTTTTTCTTTTATGTTTTTTGCATTTTTTGTATTAGGCAGATCTGGCGCATAATAATGGTTTGATTTGTTCCAGTTTATTTAGAGTGCCAGTTATTATACCTCAATCTGTATTTTTATTTATTTATTTATTTATTTATTTATTTATTATTATTATTTTATTTTTATTTATTTTTTTTTTTTTTGGGGGGGGGAGGGGGGTGATATGATACTGTACATGTATACAGTATAAAAGGAGTATTCTTTAATGGAATGCAAGCTTCATGACCAGTATAAATTTTTAGGGACGTTTGCAGCATATAAAAAAAATTAACCCTATTTTATTTTCTGTTTGTTTTTTAAATGGTCCAAGACAAATAGACATTGTTTCAGATTTATTTCTAACTATCAAGATGTATCTTATGCTTTGTCCAATGAAAGATATTTCTGAATGTCTTATCTTCATAAATTATACTTGATACTGTTGCAGATAATTTATACATGGTTGCATCCTGTGTGTACTTCAGAATGAAGCACTTTATGAGTTGGCAAACAGACTGCAAGTTGGGGGGTCAGAGCTGGAACAGGAGGAGGTGATGAAGAGAATTCAGTCTTGGATACACAATGCCCAGACTGACCTGACAACAGATGTCACCACTGACCAAGACAAGACTGATGGTGCTGAATATGATGTAATTTGCATTTGCGTTTTTCTTTTTGACCATATATCTTATTTTAGACAATTTGATCTCTCTCTCTCTCTCTTTAATGTTGCTTTAATAATACAAAGGCAAAGTTCATTTGGTATTGTTATTATTGTATAATCATTGGGTATTACTTAAAATATATTGAAAATGGAAAACATCTATATTCTTTTGGTTAAATGTTAATTAAAATGCCCTTGTGCCTCTTGATTCTGTTAATGTAAAAGTCAAACTAACTTGTCAAATCATATTATGATCAATATTTACTAAAAGAGAGTTGAACTTGGTTGTTGCCCTCACTGTTTATACAGTGAGGTTTGTTTTATTTTTTCTACCATGCAGGGTATTCTGTTTCCAATAAACAAAGAAATTCAATAAAAAACATTTACAGTGTCTAGACTGTAGTAGTTGACACTGTTATGTGTTGATATGGGATTAATCTGTTGCAGTTTTTAATTGTTTATCTGTTGATTGATTTTTTGGAAAAGAAAAAGACAACAGAACAAGAAAGGAAAAGAAAGCAAGCTGTTGCGTCTATACCAAAAGGTAGGACCACTTTTCAATAATTTTTCAAGAATGATCTACTCAAGATTGAGGAGCATAAAGCAAATAATATGAATACATGATACTATAGGTACTCCATATTAATATGAAAACACTTTAAACCTTATTTAAAATGTAAATTTGGTTTTTAAAGATTTCCTTTGTATGAATAAGAATACATCACTGGGTCATAGTTTTTCTGTGGCACAGAGACACTGTCACTTTATGTATGTTTAGTGTTATTTTAATGTGATATTTGACTGCTGAACTGATATGCATTTAATTTGTAAATTGCATTGCTTGTGAAAAATTCAATGCTCTTGACCATTTTTCATAACTAGTGAGGATGGCTGTGCTTCATATCTTATTACTATCTGATATCTTATTATATCTTATTACTATTGTAATCTGCCCTCTCTCTGTAATTAATATAATGATTAAGATTCATTTGGAACACATTACTTATATCATTTATATAAAACCAGATGTCCCTCAGAACAAAATGCAAGTAAAAGAGATCACAAAAGATGAGCACAAAGCACTTGAAATTTTTGCTTCAACTGCTCCTGTTACCCCAGAGGAACCACGGGGAATTGTTCCTGTGCTGAGGAAAAAAAAGGCTAGGTTAGATCCTAGCACGGACTCTTCTGCCATGAATTGGTTGCGTCGTAGGGTTATTGACCAGGGGAAAAGCAGTGTCATCTCTGACACAAGCCTGAGAAGTGTTTGTATGTTCTTCTGGCTGATGTAGCTTTTTTTATAAGCTTTGTGTATATTTGAATTTTAATAATAGTTTTCATTAATTCATTTTTTATTTTAATTTTGTTTTAAATTTTAATTGTTGGGTGATGATCTGCTTTATGCAGTTTGTTTTAAGTTTGGTGTTTTATTGCTTTCTGTAAATGATGTACTGTAGCATTTTTTCTGCGATTTATCTAGTTGGAAGTTATCTAGGCATGGTATCAAATGTGCCACAGAATTTGTCTTTCAAATCTGTGCCACTGTAGTTTTAAAAATCATCTGAAGGGCCTTTTAATTCCAGTCAATTGAAGAAGTTGTGAGTTCATGCTAAATTAGCTTTGCACTTTGGACTTATCCATTCAATGAATAAGGCAATTTAGATTTTGATTTTTTGAAAAGATTAATCCAAAGAAAAACAAAATGCTGTAAACAATAACATATTGCAAGAATGTTTTGTTTACTTGACGCCTTTTCCATGCAGGTAATATTATTCAAGTAAATATAGTTTGAGAAAGGGCACTTTGTCTGACATTGGTTGGACCCCAGGGAGAAAAAAGAAGTTTTTGGTATGATGTAGTATGAACCAATGCTTTTATAAATTTACGTGTTGTGTTATGAAGATGTGGTTCATATTTACATGTTAATGACAGGTAAATATAGACATGAAATGGTTCTTTACCGTGGTGTGTTGACAAGGTTAGAAACATATTTTCATGTTTTTGTTTAATTTGGTGGCTACTGTATTTGGTGGGTGACAATTTCTTCCTCTACACCAGTTCTGATGGTATGCATGAAGTGCTCCAAGGTTACAGAGGAATATAAATTTTAGAAAAGAATACTTTAGCTGGTGAAGTCTCCTTGCTTCATTAAGAATTTTTTCACCTTATTCCGACCTACAAGCTAGCTGAGACTTCAGTGCTACGTGCTTCAGGATCACAGCTATCAGAGAAGAGATCAGAAAATTAACAATTGGAGTAGTTCTTCAGGAATAATTGCTGCAGTATTACAATTGAAAAAAAAGAAGCAATTTGAAGAGATTATGCATTTGGCAATGAGCCAATATTTGGAGACTGGGCCTGGAAGGAATTCATACTACATAAATATATGACAGTTTTATAGCATTTACATTCTGGATTTAAATACATAAACATTTATATAAAAACTGATGTCTGAAACTCAAGCAGAGCAAACCCTGTGCTTGTAATACCAAGGCAAATGCCGGGTCTAGATCACTGTATTGTTGGAGGTGTGGACAATATCCTCAGAGTGGTCATACATAGACGGTCATGCAGTAGCCTAGACTCAAGACAGTCAAGAGGCAGACTTAGGCTCACATGTGAGATTAATATTATGGGAGAGATGATGTTAAAATTTGCTTGCACTATTTTGAAAAATTTCGTAAAATTTCATTCATGAAAGGTGCAAGGTTTTGTAGGCTCTATGACAAAAAATTATTGATTAGACTTATTTTTTTAAAATTTACATCGATTAAAATTAATTTTTTTAAAATTGTATTAGGGTTATATTTCCTGCGTTCTTTATTTTCAGTGTGTATCAGACTGTTAATGTTTTTATTATTATTATTTATGAAATATTGTTATACCAATTCATATTTTATTGTAGTTACACTTATATATATTTTTTTGTTTATTTTTATGTATTATTTGTACTTGCATTTATTTGTTGTTTTAGCTCAGAAAAGTGTTACCATAGAAACTATTCACCTAAGAATGTGACAAATATAGAAGTAATTTGATAATATACATTTATTGTTAGTCACAATGCAGCAGTTAAGGTTTTGATGTTAAGAAAATATATTTTCCCTCTGATAGACTACATTAAATTAATACAGCCACTATATCTCTCTGAATTAGAATGCCTAATATTACTCACGTTTTTTGACAGCTGAAGCTTCCAAAGTTACATCGAAATCTGTGCTTCGGCTACCAGGAGTCCGGAACAAAGCTGCTGAGTCTTTAACCAAGATAGCTGGACCTGGGGAGGTGGCACCTGTCAGGATAAAAACCAAGCAGTTGCCTGCCATCAGGTGGAGTAGTTCTTCATCAAAATTATTTGCCTGCAAGTGGTTATACTGTAGTTGTTTTTATGAATTTAGATCGAAACATGAAGGTTTTGGTCTGAAATAATTAAGTACATGATTATTAACAATGCTTCTTAATTTCTGAATGTGTTATGATAATTCAGTTGAGAGGAAATTTTTAAAAAAGAATTTAAAATTGAAAAGATAGACAAAGATAAACATTTTTTTCTTATTCACTTGTCATCCTCTTCATGGAAATTGTTGACCACTTATTCAAAATTTTAAACTCAAAAATGCATTGCAATTATTTTTTCAGGTTGGGCACTAAGCCAGAGTCCCCTGACTCCAGACCAGTCAGCCAGGCCAGCTCCGGGTCAACATCATCTGGAAGGTCCAAAAAGCCCAGGTCAGTTTACATACATACTAAGACTGGGTTCCACAGATTTAGATTGATCCATCTGGATCGACCTAACTCCCTGGGGGTTCACGCTAAATTGCTGTCAGCTTCCGGGAGCCGAGCGCAAACAAAAGTTAATTCCCCCTTACAGCTTTTAGTAGGCGGGACAGACATTTAAGGCAGTTAAGCCAACAGCTATCTAGTGAGATTCGATCTAAATATCTGTGGGAATGGTCTCTTAATCTCTTGAATTCATCTGCAGAGCACACATGCTTATGTGAAAACAAAACCAAAAGTAGCAAAGAGTCTCGTACTCTTAGTGGTTAAGTCATACTGTCTTCTTTATTTTAATTTTGCAACATTGAAGATGAATGTGAAGTTTTTAAGGTGAATTATACACTAAAGTATAGGCAATATGCATTTTTATACTGTAACTAGTTCATCAGATAAAACCTTTGGCTTTCACAGTTATTGTGACAGCTTTTTGATATTTAAATAAGACCCTCACCATGCCGCCTCCACATTTATGCCCTGTATTTAGTAGCAACTTGAGTCACACTTTGCATTGATTTTCACAGATTATTATCTGGTAATATCTATTTCTCAGTCATGATGAGTCTTGTGACAATCACATCTGAGAGATATAGCACTTCTTGTTCTCTGATTTATTTCTCCTGCAATTCCGTAGTATTGTCATCAAGTAACCCAAGTCAAGGTTCAAGAAATATATTTCAGTTTTCTTTATTGACTGCCACATCATATTGATAGGCACCCTTTTTTTCCAGCACTCCTAAATTTTTACCCAACAGACCTGAGATGTACAGGTATTATGGCAGACAGTCTAGTGTGGGCAGCAACAGGTCCACACCCACAGAGAAAGTGTCTGCTGCCCAAGGCCCATCTGACCAGGTGGGAAGTGAAGGTGAGTGATGAGACTTGGGTGGCCTCCGTTAGAACACCTAATAAATGACTAGCTCCACTTCATTTTGTTTTTTGGAATTTTTGTTGACAAAAAGAAAAAAAAAAAAAAAAATTAAGTAGAGCTAGTCATTTATTAGGTGTTCTAACATTCTAACAGAGGCCACCAAAGTGATTAAAAAACAACTAGATGTAAATTTTTATTTTATGTTTTTTTTTGTTTTGTTTTTATTATTATTATTATTATTATTATTATTATTATTATTATTATTATTATTATTATTATTTAAAGTTAGTTAAATTTAATTGCTACCAAATTTTTTGTCAAATGTTGTCGGACCAGCAGTGCACCTTCTGCACACTATGTCATGCAATGGCTTGTCAGAAACCCTAAATGTTGATTGCTTTGCATGAAGACAAGGGGCTATATAATGTTTAGTGTTCATGTCTCCTCAGTGACAATCTTGAGCATGAAATTGTTCAGAGGTTGATTGAAATGATTTCCCATTGCATGCAGCATGTACCACACTTGTTTTATACATTTTACTATACATGTATGTTGAACATAGCCTGTACTGTTTGTCTGTAAACCAGCGCTATTACTTACATCTGCATGTCAAGCTGGGCTTTCTTTAATTAAAATGCATGGTAACTTCATGAAGAAGCATGTCATAACATAGCAAAGCAGTATATTTATATTTCACCTTTTAAAAAAATAGGAAAGAATAGGAAGCATCGCACAGAAGACTTGTTCTGAAAAGTGTCGTCTGGGGTTACTAATTTATGACTACAGATTTATGTCCTTCTTGGTTTATTCTTGGTTCAATTTTTCATGGTATCACTTAATTGGGAACATTGAATGCAAGAGAAGAATTAAGCCACCACTGTAAACAACCTTTTGTATCCGTGATAAAAAAAATATGGAATGTATAGGCAGTGGATTATTCCCATCCATTAAACTCGTTCATGTTCACTTTCCAATTAACTGTGAATAACACAAAATAGTATTGATCATTAAAGAAGCTTAACTGTTATTTCCCCGGCTACAGGAAATGTTTGATCAATAAGCATTATTATCTGAGTGATGAAAATCAACAGGAGTTGTAGTGCGGATACTGGCTGGCTGTATGTACATGTAACCATGGGGTCTCAGACAGACCTGTGGTCAACAAATCATAACTAGATGGTCAGTTTGGAGTCTGGGTAATTGGTATTCACTACATTGTCATATATGATAGGCAGTGTGTTGGTTGGCCGCTTGTGTTCTTGTTTTGGAGATTTTTTCACTTGAAAGGAAAAGAAAGGGCCGGAACAATGCCAGCAAAACTTACTGTTTATATGCCAAGAATTTTGGAAGGTGAATTTTATTTTAGTATTTGATTTATTGTTATTATTGCACTGATTTACTGTTTTAAGGTACTGTATTTGTTTTTCATGTGGTAAGTAAGACTTATTGCATAGTCATTTTTTTTTTTTTTTGAAAATTAAGTAAATTAATATAAATGATGGAAGTTTAACCATTTGCAATTTATCAGTTTTCAGGAAACTCTCATCTCCTTTATCATAAATGTTTGCAAATGATATCTGGAGTGAAGATACATGTACCGATATAACAACCAAATATGCTAAAATTTGAAATGAAACACAGATGGAAGGTATAAAAGTGTCACAAATGTGATGCTAATGAAATTATATCAACATTTCTGAATATTTTCCAGAGGGAGAAACAAGAAAGGGTGTTACCACACCAAAGACTTTAGTCACACAAGAAGAAAAAGACATCCCTGCACCTTTGGTGACACAACCAGATGACACCTCAGGTGTGTCCCTGGTGACACCTTGGAAGGACACAGTCCATGCTCCCTCAGTGGTCCTCCCACCTGTGGTACAGAAGTCAGACAATGTTGATAGTAAAGTATCAGCAGCAACAGATCAAAGTTACAAAGAAACTGTCAGCACTCTCCCCACCCTGCCGCCCATCAGTGACAACAAGCTACTACATCAGCACCTTCATGACAAGTTCTCAGATTATGATTCAGATATCCATTCTGCATCAGTAGGTCCTGGGAGTCAGTTCTGGGAGGATGGGTCACTGCAGGTTGGTACTAAAAAGACTGCTACATATTTAAGTTTTTTTTTTTTTTTTTTTTTTTTTTTTTTTTTTTTTTTTTTTTTAAGTTAGATGATATTATTGATAATGATAATAATTTATTTACAGTTCTAAATCCATCTTAAATGTTCAGTAGACTATGCAGTTGTTAAAATGGATCTGTAGAAAGCCTCTTCCTCTATAGAGGAAGGAACTTTGATCAGGCATTACAATTAGTATTGTAGATGAAACTTTCATCAGGTATTACAATTAGCATTGTAGATGTTATTAAACCGTTTGAATTTTATGATTTGGAGACTATTTGACTTACTTTCTGTTATAAAATTCTATTTAGAACTTGAAGGCCCGTGACTACATGAGTGCTGATGACTCTGGGTTCAGCTGTATCTCTGATCAGTCCACTCTGGAGACTAGCAAACAAGGTGAGGAAAATTTATAATAATTTTTTAAAATAAATATAGATTTTAGAAAGTAGAGGTGAAAAATGTGACACTGAAAATAGAAGGCAGTACAAAGATTTTCTTCTCGTTAATTATAGTAAATTTTGATTCAAAATCATTGTATAAAAAAGTAACAGCTAATTGTCATTTTGTTTCATTTTAAGAATTATCACTGGTCAGCAGGGGAGAGCCTCAACTGTCACCAGTCAAGTCAGTCACCTTACTGACCAAGGAGGGATCCAAACATGGTAAGGTTAAGCCACTCAAGTGAAGATGAACAGTGTCTTAGATTTGTTATGTTTTCTTTACACTGTAGGCTATATCCATAAGTGCCATCAGTTATTTAATTAGAAGTTCCATATTGGGTTTCATAAGACTTCTCATTAATGTTTTTTTAAATCTAATATAAAAGTTAATATACTGTTTGATGCATATTCAATGTACAGTTTCAGCAGAAAAGAGGCAGATGCTCATGCCATAGCTGGCTTTCATTTTATACAGTGCTTTTTTCTGGTTACCTAGCCATTGTTTATCGACATTATAAGACAAAAATGCTTAAACTTAAAGCAGGTTTTTAACTGTAACTTCTGCATTCCAAGAATCCATCTCCTCCTCTCTCGGACATTTTGATGATGAGAGTAACTCTCTTAGCATTCCTGATATTGGTGATATTGGACTTGATATTGAAGACATGGAATCGTTTGAAGAATTGCCAAGTTTTCTCTGTCGACCTCGAGGCCGAAGACAGTAAAGATGCTGGTAAAGCGCTGGCATGATGTGCAGTGGCATGGTGCATGGCCTTAAGAAATTACATCATATGAAATGTTTAACTTATTTCAGCTTGTTGGTGGCATTTCAGGGCTATCCTCTGTTATATTTCAGCTTGAGTGCAATTTGCATGACTGGGTCTTCATGATGCATGGAAAATATACAATGAGTTAATGACTTAACAAATTTCTAGCTGTGCATTTTATTTATAAACAAAATGAGCATGTGGCATGTATGCTTTCATGTATAGGAATATTGGGTTGCCAGTTGAAGTTTCGATTTAAATATACATGTGTATAATTCCACATTTTTCAATAGTTCATGTTCTACCTTAATTTGCATGTTGGTTTTTCCTTTGCGTGTTGAATGGGAAGTATCGTACTTCTTCCAAGTTAAACATGAAGCAGAATTGCATGGGACTGCTTCTGTAACATTTAAAAGGTCATCATTTTTTCTGGGTTCACAAGGAAATAACCCGGTGCAGGGATGGCATAAAAATAAGTTGTGGTTAACAAAGTATTGAGATGAGGACTGTAACATATTTTTTATGTTTACCCACTCATTTATCAGAGTTTTCAACTATTTTTTTAGAAAAAACTTGCATTAAAAAATCTACAATTGCTATTATTCAATCACAAATTGTGCTCATAAAGTGACAACAGTAGTTTTGATATCTCTGTCAACAAAGTCAAATCTGCTTTCAGACAACTGGAGGCAGTTTTTTGAGAGGACGTCGGCCCTGGACAGGAAGAGAATAGCGGAAGTGAAGGAGGACATCGCTCACGGCAAGCACAAGCCTCTGCCCCAGACTGAGGTCTCGTACATCAAGCACAAGAGAGTGCAATTTGTTCCTGGGGATGCTGGGGTCCGGCTGCTTCACACTATTACAATATCTGGAGACAAGGTAAACAAAAGAGATTTATTATTATTATTATTATTATTATTATTATTATTATTTACATTACTGATATATGGTCAAGGGATGGGCAACTTATTGTCGAAAATGATTTAAACTGATTGTTTGAAACAATAACTGAGATACAGAGACAAGAGAAGATACCTCTGCCATTTAATTATAGTCCAGTGTTTCTGATACTTTAAACAATTATTAAGGTAATAAGGTACGTAGGTCTGGCTAGTGGTAAGCAATCTGATAAACTGCCTGTTTTCATAACTCTTTGCAGCAGGGTTATAATTTTGTAGGTTAAAAGAATATTATTCAGTGTAGATGTATGCTGAATACAGATATTTTTCTGCTTTTTTCTGCAGCTGCAAGAAGCTGAAGACAGCAGACACTTCATATCTGCCATGCCAGGAAGGCTGGGGATGCACACCACCTCAGAGTAAGGAGATTTGATACAACACTTCATGATAGAACTCTTAAGTGAATGGTATTTCATTGATCAAACAAATGTTGGTTTATATTTGTTATGAAGATACTGTATATATGTGCGCTTCTTAACTTTTTCATTACAGATACAAATTATCTTCTAGCATAAAATCAATTTCAATTATGAGTTTGTAGACATAATTGGCATGTGGAATATCTTCTTCACTCTTTGTGAAAATGTTCTTAGATTACAAATGACCACATGTAAACACCAAATACCTAAGCAGAAAATGAACCCACAAAAATGTCTTAAATAATACATGCTAACATTCAGGAGTGAAATTTACTTTCAGAACATTTGGACATAGCAAGTATGGGATCCTGAACATGAATTGGACAACCAATGTTCCTGTTCCTCTGTCAAACTTTCGCTACCAGCAGTGGCGTAAACGTCAGCAGCCAAAGAAACACCTGGAAGCAGTCATACGTGCTCCACCTACCTCCTCTTCTTCTGTGACACGTTTTCCCCAGCTAGTCAAACTGCATGAGCTGAAGCTGATGGAGAGTGCCAAGTAATGTGCAGATCACACCCAACACACTGCTGTCTCAACACGCTAGCACACCTAACACACTTGATCACCGGTGTATATGTAGTTCATGAGAATTTTTGAACCTCTAAACAGTCAATGAAAATATCTGAATTTATGTGACACTACTAAAAGAATACCATTACTGAGTTCTGAAAAATTTATTGTGGTCATGTTTTTTCAAATAGATATGGGTATCTTTATAGGTCTGCAGCAGAACAAGAAATACCTAAAGTTACCTACAGATGGGAGTCTCCCCTCCCTCCTCCTCCAGGTAGACGCTCCAGGCTGGGAGATGCAGACACTGCTAAGCAGCACAACCACTACTGTGAATATTATAATCTAGCCAAAAAGAAGATGCACCATTTTACTTCAGTAAGATTGGAAATATTTTTTAAATACAATTTTGACATAGAGGATAAAAAAATAGCTTGATCCTTGAACATTGACCCACATTGGGGAAAATCTCACCTAACGCACCCGTTAGTGTTTCAACTAACACAATTTCACCTAATGTTCAGTTATTGTGTTTATTGGTTTCAGTTTTATTTTCAGCATTTCTATGGACTGTAATTTGGTAACTTAAGACTAGTTTATTATTGCTAAATATTAACTAACACATTTTTTTCTTTTTGTTTTTTGATGGGGTTTGATACTGTTTTGTTTTTATAATTTCTTTAGATTACACGTTATCTACACAATAAGCAGTTAACTGCTAACACCACACAATTCCTGCGAGGTGGGTGCAGACAGGAGTAGGTCAGCAGGAATGTTTTGCATGCTCACCACGCTCTGACCTAGGCTGCTATAATGTAGAGCTTAGAATGAACCTAGTCAATAACCCTAAGATATTTTTGAACAGTTGATTTCACATAACTTGACACCTTGTAACTGGAATGATTGTTTATCTCAAGCATGTCTGGTGAAAAGGATTTAAACTGATTCAGAAACTAAATTTTTGATCCTGGTGTCTTTGTAATGCAGATACAACTAATACTGTACATATCTCCTCCTGCAAGAGAAAAGTTTCTCTTGTTGAAGATCAATTTGGTTTAGCTGCTTTGACCAACAATCAAAAGTTAATTCCATAATAATGAAAACTGTTTCTTTTTTAACCAAAGATTTTACCATCCAAGTATTTGCAGAAATTTCATCAATGGTTAAAGTTTTAATTTGATCCTTGGCCTTTAATTATAGCTAATTTCACTTATGGTTCTTAGAAAAATAACTCCTGCATATGTAGAAATCCTAGATGGTTATAAAAGTTGCATGTGGTGTTCATTTCCTTGGGCAGGGCACTGGATGAGCTATAACTGAACATATGAGTCATTGTTGTCTGCTTTGAAAAGGTTGCATGGTGCTTGTCTAGTATACCACTCTGCCTAGTTGTATACCAATTCACCTAGTTATATACCTTTGCCTTCTGTTGGTCATTAAAAAATAGTTAATAAATTTATTAGAAAAAAAAAACAATAAAAGCTTAAAAAGGTAAATATTTAAATTGTTGACAGAAAAGTCAGTGATGTAAATAAGGGTGCTACAAATGTTGAGCAGCTGATGTCACCATGACTAAACTAATTTATGACATTTGCTAATGACAAAATAGGAAATGAATATATAAAAATTTCTTCAAATATTTCACAATGATGGCTTACACATTGAAAATTGCATATGGTATATTTTAATTAATAATTAATTAAAATCAATAAAACATCATCCGATCCTAATCCTTCTGTATAATGGCATAAAAGCATATGTCATTGAAAGAGAGATTAGGTTTTAGAATAGCTGAATGGATAAATTTTGGGGATCTCGTGTGTCCATATCCTTTTGCATGGGTTTTGACTATTAGGGATGTGGACACTTCAGANCTCTAGAAGGGTTCATTCACAGTGAATCTATTATACTAGCTGTGCACACTAAAGCCATAGGGACTATTACTGGATGCAGTCACATTAACAGATTTACAACGCCTCCTTCTGTCAATGAGTGGAATAGTGAAAAGGTAGTGATTATACGAGTACATTGGAAACAAGAGGAGGTCTGTTAATCTGTTAATGTGATTGCATTCAGCAACAGTCCTCGTGGAGTTAATGGGCACTAGCTAGTATGATAGATCCATTGTGAACGCACCCTTAGACACTGGCTGCTTTAAATGCACTTTACACTTATTTGTTAAATTGATAAATTAGTGAGACACAGGAACTGTTCTGTGTGATTGATGAACAGATTTAAAAATGGGAGATGATATTCATGGTTTTAATCAAAACATTTTGAATTATAGAAATTTGCTTACTTCCTTATTTTTACATAGGCTTGATGTTTTTGATGATACCACTGACTAGCTGGGTTCTTAAATCATTCTTATGGCATAGAATGCATAATATGCCTTCTTCATTTTTAGATTTGTTTGTTGATATGAAGGGAAAATAATTTTGAAATTTAAAAAAATGGAAATATGTTCAAAAGACTATAAGATAACATCCATTTACTCCTTATGAAGTGTAGAATAAATGATTGAATCAAATCAGGCTTTGTTGTCTCGGTATAAATTGTTACTATACTCAGGTTTGCATCTAAAATTTAGTCTGTTTTTTCAGACCTCAGATGTCACCACCTTACCCAAGCTGGTTCAAAAAGTGCCCAGTGTCCACTCTTACCTGCCACCACATCCTTCACCTGACCACAACCGGACAGCAGTGGACAGTCTGCCACCAGTCAATTTAAAAGCAATGACAGCTCGCTCCTAAATTAGACCTAGCATATTAACCTTTCAAGTGATACTTCAGTTAGAACAGTTGGAGACTTAAGGTGATACATGTAGGAAAATGTGTCTTCTTGGTGTAACTTGCTAAGAGGGCATTTGGTTTTTGTATTTTATTTGAATTCCTGGAGTCGTAGCATGTATTCTCTATTGTTTATGTTTTGATTTAAATGTGATTGAACATTGAAACACACCTTTTGTATTAACTAGTGGACCAATTAAAATGAAATTTTGCTCAACTGTTATTTATACTATACAAACAATTGATACTTGCTCAATTTACTTAATGATTTCATAGAATGATATAGAACAGATGTAGATGTTAATGATGGTAAAGAAACAAACTGTACAACCTCTCTTGCACAGATATAGAATGCAAAGTTTTTCTTTACTGTTTCTGTTCCTGGATGTTGTATAGATGGATTTAGTTCTAAGACACAGTGCAATGTTTTAAAAGTAATTTAGACATGGTATTCATGAATAAAAAAAGCTTCGTCTTAGTGCAATTCAGTGTACCTTTAAAGATTTAAACCAAAGACCTGACATTTATTAACTACAATGATTTTTATATTTCTACCAAAAACTAGGACAGTTTGCCTCACAAAATTTTGTTTTCCCTTTTAATAATAAAAATATCAAATCAAATATCTTGTTGCTTTATGTTTTACATAACTTCAGCTTGGCTATCTGCCATTTCCCAAATTCTCTCTGCCCTCTCTCTCTCTCTAACTATTCATGCTCACAGTGAAGAACAAAATCAGACAAGACTTGGACTAAGGCTTCGTTCACATAGAATGTCTATTTTCTAAAAATCTATTTTCTATTCGCGCTATCTTATGATCACGGTCTGTGCCCTGAATATCCCACCGCGTAATTACTGGCAGTGCGAGCCAGTTACTTACAGTAACTTATAGTAACTGGCTCGCGCTGCCAGTAATTACGCCGCGGGATATTCAGGGCACAGACCGTGATCATAAGACATACCGCGAATAGAAAATAGAATTTAGAAAATAGACATTGCATGTGAATGAAGCCTAAGTAGCAGTTTTTGAAGTCTTATCCATAAGCAACCAAGTATACTGAAGAGACCATTCCATTGCACTGACACCGTTTAGTCCATTTTCAATCCAGGGTGGTATTTAATGTGAACACATCCTATAAAATGAGGAAGCATTGTAAATAGCAAAATACACTTTATTGCCAATTTAAAAATAACCATTTGAGCAGAACATTAGCACCAGTTCTGGATTTCAATTAATACCAAAGCCCTATTTGCTTTATGTCAAAACTTATAACAAAAAATAGAAAAGGCACAATCAGACTGAATAACTTTTTTCTTTAAATATTGCCTTCAGATTTCTTTCAGAAAAAAAAAATTCAGCAACAAATAAGCTACCAGTATTTCATTTTCTTAAATAAAAAAATATACAGCAAAATAATATATCCAAGCTTAAATAGCAGTCCATGTCAGAAGTTCACATTTATTGGAATAATCTAGGCAAGCTGCTTGGCAACACAAAAGAAACCTCCAGCAGTACCAACCTGCTGGGTGAACCAACATTTCCTCTAGCTGATACACCAGGTGCTGTATTTACCTGAACAATTCATGCTATTGTCTCACCCTACCTTTAGATTAATTAATCATATTAGGTCTACAGGTAAAGTCATTTATTATGCAAAAGATATATCTTCAGAGGCAAAGCTGTGACCTTCTGCAGGTTCTTATTACATCAGGCTATAGCAAAGCTGATAAAATAAAGCTTGTGAAACAAGATAAAAGGCATCTAGTTTTTCAGAACAAACGTGGCTAGATTTGCCACTTCCCTCTTCCTCATTGCAGCTGCGAGAAAAAAAATCTGTTAAGTGCTGCATAATCTTACCGCATGAAGCTTCCTTTCTCTGCTATCAGATAAAATCTCCAATGGCATATGACTCATGCATGCATATATAGTGAGCAACAGAATGGAATGAACATGAAAAAAAATTATGCGTCAGATCAGGAACACTTGTAGTGTTGTAACAAATAACCATTTTTTTTACATAAATCCAAGCTAATCACAAGAATATTAATATAAAGAATAGGGACAATTTAGTTTCTTTAAATCTCCATTAGTCATAAATATGGATTTCTTTGATCCTAAAATAAAATAATTATCATTTTAAAAAATATATTTTTTCATCCAGTGTTAAAAGATTTTGACTATTAGCAAAATGTATTAGCAAAGAACAAAAGTAATTACCTTAGGTTATTGACAAACTAAAATACCACTGGTGTAAATTACACAATTCTTAAACTGAAAATACAAAAATTAATAAATGAACACAATCATTTTCTTTGTTCTTTGCTTTACTTGCTGTCACCAGAGTGCACCCATTCAAGAAATGAAGTGAAAAAAATAAAAGAGCAATAATAGCGGTGCATTTTTTTTCAAACTTCAAATAGCAAACTAAATACTGTTTACAATGCATCATCTTATGCATAGCTTCTGAGAACAAACGAAGCACAGAACACTTCTACACCTAAAAAGCCGTAGTTGTCTCTTCGTAGCCATGTTTGGGGAGGGTGGCATACAAAATGTTATCATAATTTCCATTCTCAGTTCCATCTCTGTCCCATGTGCTGCCGTAAAAACCATTAGCAGGGAGATCATTATAGGCGTCTAATGTCAGTGGATGACTGTGACTTAAAGGCAGGACGCCTTCACTGTTGTCATGGTAACCATTCTTGCCTTTGTTTGGCTGATCAAAAGTCTTGCTCCTGGGAATGGCTTGCTGGTCCCTTGGATGCCATTTCCTGGGCAAGCTCATGCTGTTCTGCTCATACTGGTCTACAAGCTGCCACACTGGTCGGCCTACTTCCATACTGGGCTCACAACCATTTGAACCATCGCCACTGACTGCTGGCCTTGATAACCACTGTGGCTTTGGACTCACTGGAGGCTTGAAACTTTGACTGCGAGGAATGGATACCCTAGGCTTTATATGTTTCTTTGGACGATGGCTTTGGAGTGTATAGTAGTTACTGTTGTTTGTATTCTCCTCACTTTCGGGGTTGTAATTGCTGCTGGTCTCATCATTATTGAAACTTGGATTAATGAAAACCATTTCGCTTTTTTTTGATAATGTATCACTGTCACTTTTACTGTTCTTTACAGCAGACATACTTTGTCCATTACAAATAGCACCATCTGAAATACTTTTAGGTGGGTCCCGACCTCCCAGATTATCATAGAGAGGTGCCTCCAAGAGCTCTAGCGGTGGGGGAGGGAGCTTACTTGCGTCAACTTCGTCTGTGTTATAATTGCTATATTCTGGGAGCTTTTCCTTTCCAGGTTGAATTAGGATGGGTGCCACAGGTTCGCTTTCTTCAGGAATAGAAGTAAATACTTCCTCATCCTCGATTTCTGGTTGGCCAGGAGGTGGCTCCACAGGTACTGTGGGGCGAACTCTGGGTTCACTGCAAGCGCTCCTCTCAGATAGCTGGCGGTACTTGCCACCCTCACTGATCTGAACCTACAAAAATCAAATAGGATATTCATTGTGGCGTTTCTTTTTTAAATAATCTAAAATAATTGTTTACTCTGAAAGCACGTTTTCCTTATCATTTAAAACAACCACATAATGGTAGAGTATAGTGTTTTATATTTTGGTTCCAGCACTTTCAATAGTGTGAACATCGAATTATTTTATCATCTGGCTAACAGCAGAAAAAGCTTTCATTACAGGTATATCTTTTCGGATCTCTAACAGAAAAATATTCCAGACATTTTGCTTCAAATTCCATTTCAACTTACTGGAAAGCTTTCACTAGAGGTGCTCCTCTCTGAGAGAGCCTTGTACTTCATCCTGGGGCTGGCCTGCACATGAGGGGGGACCACACCCAAGGTGCCATCTGCAGGGAGCTATAAACAACAAACAAAGCATGGTAACTACAGTGATCATTCAATATGACATTATCACCTTAGGTGCTTCTTCATTGAAATAAAGATATGAAATAAGTAGCAGAAAACAAAGATCATAGGAAAAGGTTATGCCAAACAAATCTTTTAAAAGCCAGATGAAAAAGTGTCCCCTTTTGTTTCCACTATGACTCCAAAGTTCAAAATCTGATGGAAAACTTGTCAAACTTAATAGTTTAAACTGTTTTATCTGTGCTGTTCAGATCAAACTTAATAGTTTAAACTGTTTTATCTGTGCTGTTCAGAGATGATTGAAAGAACAGTAAGAGGATTTGACAATGTCCATCCTGTCTATTAATATGACTATTAATAAGCACTATCAAGTAACAAGGGAATGAGTAATACAACTATTGTCTTTATCTCAACCCTTACAGGGCAATCCTATCTGTAGGACTAACATGGCAAAATGGTTGGGAAATAATCTATATAGCATTTATAAAAGTATTCATGTATTCTTCTCACTTCAACACTTCACACTAAAAATATTTATTGTTCGAAATAGCTCGGTTATGCCAGGATCAGTTTATGTTAACTGTTACTGAATTGGAAGATAGGAGTCGTGAGCTGACCGTGCCTGAGCGTTTGTTTTTTGGTTTTAACATATATATATTTAAAGTAACTGAATAAACTGATAATTACCATGGCATAAGGTGGGTTCTGCAAAAAACGCCATATTTTAAGGCAACACATTCACATGTCACTGTGTGTGTGTTTGTGTGTATAAGTGCGTACATGCACACACATGCTTGGGCACAGATATTTCCAGGTCAAGAATTTCTTGGCTAGGTATCTTCCTCATATAAAACAGGCTCCATAGAAACCTACTTAATGCATGAGGAGATGATAAAATTCAGTGCAATTAAACTGTATGCCTGGGAGACTGAGAGATGGACAGACTGATAGGTGAGAGAGGGGAAAGATAATGACCCGCTGTCCAGGTGGTGAATGAAGGAGCTGAAGAGGTGAACTTTAGAGGATACATAAATAATAGAGGATGGACAGATTTTAGCTTTGATCTTTTAGGTCATTCAGTTTCGAGTAAAATTATAATTGTATGGTCTGTGGTTACGGCCTGTGGTTACAGCTCACGAGCAAATTTCTCCAAGTTTGTACCATGAGCAATGAGTATTTCTCTCCATGGTCTTCAGTATTTATATACAAAAGGGTGAACATGGCACCTGGAGTGCCCAATAATGTGTATCATCTTTTTATACCTAACATTTCTGTGCAATACATGTACACTTAGTTTTCATCATGTACACGGGCAGGTCATATGTCTTTTATTTGATATGTGTGTGTGTGTGTGTGTGTGTGTGTGTGTGTGTGTGTGTACATATATTTGTAAATATATGTGAGTGTGCACACATGCTAGTGTAACCTAATGACACCACAGAATAGTATGAAAAACAAGCCCCTCTCTCTAAAATTCTGACACAAATAAAACAGGTTCTTTAGACATTTTGACATTTACGGAACAAATACTAAAAATTAATGGAAAGGAAAGATAAACATCTGCTAAACTGAAGCACACCTGGCCATAAGGAGATGCCATGGACAACCTTCCATTTGCCAGACACTTATGCAGAGAATTCATATCATGCAAGTGTCAGAGTAGCATTTTTATGTTTAAAATTCCACTTTCTCAGATAAAATCCTGACCAGTCCAGACAACACTGATAGACAACAATAAGCGAAAGGCAAAATAAAAGTTACTGGCTTGAGGGTAACAGGAATCCATTCTTAATTATATTCATGCTCAATTTGCAATTTGGCATCAACTCATTTTTCAACTGATCCTAGGATTTCAAACTGTGTGACAGCTAATTTGTCTCAGGACTTTCTGCATGTATCCCATTTTAATTTGCTGGAGAAATTGCCAGATCAATCTTTATTTTTGAATAGTGCATTATCAGCTTCATTTAGCAGTGTTCCTGGGAGAGAAAAAAGTGGTAAAAGCTCAGAATTAGCTGCAGCTTTTAGATTTCCATCTGAATGCGAATCTGCTTAAAACCTACATTTTTTTCTTTTACACTAAATTAATCTCTCTTTTATGGATGAAAGCTCCAGATAAACTTGTTTTTAATTCCATGCATTGGTTTTCAGTAAATAAAAACTATATTGTCTTAAAAAGCAAGAAAAAAGGGTGCCCGTGACCTGGCCTGCTGGCCCTTAACCTTTCACTATTTCCAATTTGTGAAATGATTGGCAAATCAATCTCTATATTTCCGCACTGTAAATTATTGGCTTCATTGAGCGCGACTCCCCAGAGGGTGCACATAAAGTCCTGCTGCTCTAAACACATATCCTAATCAATGACCAACTTGTCTACACTCAAACCCAATGGGAACAATGTGGGAATTTTTTTTTATAAAAGAGTGCATGAGCTCTTTAATAAAGACTGAACTTATTTCACATACAGACAGTGACTCAATTTTGATCTTATTTGTCTTCTTCTGACATTTTTATAAAATATATGATACAGATGAGTAGAAATAAATAAATACAATTTCCGCACCGAAAAGCCAAATAAAGTCAGGAATGTTTTTTTTTCCTGAAATCAATTTTTTATTAATACCCTTGTTTATTTAATCAACTTTGAAATCAATTTCTTAATAATATCATAGTTTATTTAATCAACTTTTTATCCATTGCCTAAGGTCATAAAATTAGAATGGTCTCTGCAGAAATTTGTTTTTGATCTATAGCCAAAATGTACGTATTGTTGTTTTATTGACTTACAGACTATATAATTTGAAGATAGAAACCAAATCAAACAAGAATTTAGCCTCAAAATAGTCAATAATCAAAGCCCTTTCTTCCTTCACCAACAATGTCTTCTATTGCATGGACATTAATTCGACGTAAGAGATTAATAGGCCCCTTCACCAGTCAGTTCAATATCCAAAACACACTTACACAACTATTAAGCCATATTTCTTGTGCAATCAATATAAAGATCTCAAGTCCATTGGGATTTGATTTTTGACAGCAAAATTAATGTACAGTCTGTGTTGTTTCTGCATTAATCCTCATTAAACACTTTCTAGAAGCTGTAAATAACATTCAGGAGCTCTCCGAAATAAGTGAAGCTTGGAAAATTAACTTCAGTATAAGTGCCATAGTCCTGGACATGATACAAGCAGCCCACTTCTCTAGTGAAGATGTTTTACAATCATAAATGTTTTCTCTCCACTTGAAGCAGTTGCACCCCATGAAACAAGTGTACTTCCTACCAAGTTATCAGGAAATTTAATTTGCTTATGTATTATGTGTGATGTAAACCACTTCATCACTTATTTATATAACCCTGATGCAGGTAGATTGTCAAAAAGTAACAAAAGATAACTAAATTCATGTGCTATCATGTGATATCGCCACATGTGGTCAGACAGACATTGCACAAGAAGGGGAACTTCAGATTCCCCATGCACCCATTTCAATCAGCTTTACCATCAAATGATTCATCTATGTGTCTTCTAGTGATGCCACACAGTACCCTCTTTGAGAACTGTCACCACCATTAGAAACACACTTCTGATTTATCATCATTTTAATTTGATTTTTTATGATATAGTCTCATGAATTGAATTATCTATTGATAGCAGTATTACTTTTTTAATGGTTTGCCATTAACCACACAAATAATTCAGAAGATAAGCACATTAAGCTTCCCATTAGGGAACTCAAAATAACATGAAGATTAGCAAATTAGGCAGCTACATTGGTTGACTATGTTTGGACAGAGGTCTCTGTGGAATTTGTTCCTTGTTATGACATATTGGCCATGAAAAAATAACAAAAAAAAAGTTTGCGAGCTGCAGATATCAGTTACATGTAAAAAATCCAAGACATCTCCTTTAGAGGTTTTTAAAAGATTATTTTGTATTTGACTAAAATTTAATGAGAAGGCTATTTCTGCATTTTTCTATCTCAAACTTGAGCCTAGGCCAGTCTGGAATTGAATTTTAAATCTTGAAATACTGTGATGCTGTGAAAAAATCTTCTAGAACTGTATTCAGGAACTTAATTACATACCAGTAAAAGCACCCACTGAATCAAACTCTGAATTTTATTCAAATCTAAACAGTCCTCATTCCTCAATGAATTCAAGGAGCTTCTATCACTCAAACTAAACAACCAAAACTGATCTTATTTACCTGTCATAAAAAGCACTTGGTAGGTTCTAGTAGGATTATAAAAGGTAGTCATGATATTTAATTTTACATGCCACAGTGATAAATGTCACTCAAGGTGGCTCTCTGATTATGGGGTTTGAATACAAATGAGAAGCTGTCACTGGTTTGGCCAGATTACTGGTGATAAATTACCCTATATTCCATCAATTTTAAGTAAAATCTCTAAGGTGATCTCATGCAGACTTTACAATTGAGGCTTAATACTTCTGAATCGACTCTGTTTGGGTAAAAGAGGCTTATAAGAGATCTCTCAGACAAAATAAATATCCTTCACTCCTGAGGTTATGAATTCGACAGGACTTATCAGCTTTCTGTATGAACTAATTTATGAGAAACTGTATCCAGAATACAACCGATTACTATTGAGATCATATAAAGAAATCTCATGACTAATCTCTCTTTTTTCTTTTACATTCAAGTTGAATTTTTTTTTCTTTGCACATGTATCAACTCCTCAAATTGTCATGTGCCTTAAATACCATCTTGACAGGGAAAAAAATGAGACTTTGAGCTGATAAGCTGTGTTGTGACTGCAAAATCATATGGGATTTATACTGAAATTGAACAATCCTTAAAACCATAGCAAAGCCACACTGCCAGTTAATATCAACCATATAATCACTCAATGCCATATGCAATGAAGACATGTAGAATTTACACATATAGTGAGACATTTGCCCATCCTGGAAGCAAACAAATGATCAATTTCCCTGTGTGACTTTTAAATTCTGTTTTGGCTATTAAATCTATTATTTTGCCAACATGTTCACATCAATTCCTTATTTGACAAGATTACTTCTGACGCCTCTATGTCATACACATTAGTTAAACAACACAAACATTTTCCCCATTTCTAGAATATAGTGGAAATCATAAATGTTGAGCTAATTCAAGATCTTTAAAATATTAATCAGACATGAATGACCAGGAATGTAGCCAGTAATTTTAAAATTGGGGGAAGGGGGGTGGGCTTTTCTGAAAAAAATTAAAGGACCTTTTACCATAATGGCATAGAATCTAGATCATACTTTTTTATCAGCGCAGACCTTTTCACTGTTTAAAGGTTTGTTTTTTACCCCCCCCCCCCATAACCCCACTGCCCAGGAGAGTGATAATGGATAATACAAAAGTGACTTTTAGACATGATGTCTTTCTTACCTTAGACTTATTTAATCAATTAATGTTATTTGAAGAAATTTGCTTATAACTTTGAATTCAAATGAGCAGATCTATCCAAACGTGCAACAATTGGTATATAAGGTTGAGTAATAAGAGAAAGCTTCACTAATCTGCTATCAACACAAAGTGCCTTTACCCTTGAAAGAAATGACATCAATGAAATAAAAATTATCACAAGAAATCCTTGAACAAAGAAGCACTGGCATGGGCAGCTTCAAAAGAATCCTACAGCATTTAAACTGATGGTAATGGGTAATAAATCAAACCCAGGTTACCACCTCTCTAACAAATAGAAGGCAGCATTGATCCCTTCCTCTAAATTAACTGCCAAAGCCTACATAAAAAACAGAGGTGGTCAAATATGTTTCCAATATACTGAACTTTTATTCATCAGATTTTCCAAAATGACTTAAATACTGAGCATATTATCAGCTATGAAAGTTCACTCCAACATTGAAAAACAGTTGCTGTGTGTGTCCTACAGATGCCTTATTCAATGCCATTCAACATATTGATTTTGTCTTATATAATCATGCCAGTCATAGCAATCTTTTGAAATGAGAAAAAAATGTCTTGCTCAAAAAAAAAAAGGTAAAATTGAAAGAATGTTTCAGTTGTCAAAGAGAGAAAGTGAAAGAGTTCCCAGCAAATCAACTCTGAATAAAGTTTGATAGTTAGCCACCAACTCTGGCACAGAAACTGTAATTGAGTATGTAAAACTGTTGCATGTCATCATGCACCCCAGGCACTTGGCAGGTCCCAGTGCTATTAGCTAGACTAATTTGAACTTCAGCATGGCTGTGCTGTCACGTCCTTCTCCTCTCCTGTCAGTCAGGAGAACCTGCAGTCACAGGTGAGGAAATACCCATAAACACAAGATATAGTTGATAAACACCCTACTGATAGATAAACTAGGCGGCCCATGGCACTGTCTTTTTGATTATCACACAATCTACAAGCTACCTGATTACCCTGGACTTTCCAATAAACACCCTATCTAAGTTAACATATCACCATGGCAATGTTGATAAATATTATTTCTGAATAAACTGAAAGGTCAAAACTCCTCTGCTTGCCATGCACTCATAGCAAGTTTTAACCAGCTAGTATAGAGGTTTCCTACACTGATGAATAGACTTCCACTTCCATTCAATCCCTAAAAAGTGCTAATTAAGCCCCAGCCCATATCCACATTTTAATCAACATTCTCTGCTCAATTAGCCCCGTTTTCCATACAATAATAGGAACAGTAACAATCTTGGGAGTTATTGGTGATTTTCTACTTCAATATTTTATGTACTGTAATGCAACACATGCCATACTGTCTTGGCTACCTGACAAAAAGTGTCTCCTGTAAGTGTTGTGTTTACAGAATGTTGGTATTGTACTAGTGGTTGGTTCCTGATTAATTCTGAATTGTTTCACTGCTGCTGAGCTGTGGAGTGTTTACTTAAATAAACCAAGGAAGTGTGCACAAGGAAGTAAGTTTCCTCAGGGTTACTGCTTGTGAAAAATAAATCGATGAAGCACTTTTCTGGGCTCACTCCTGCATGACAATTGTTGTAGTCATTAAAATCAATGACAAATGTAGAAAAAATGGTTCTTTCCTATTTTTTCCTTTTGTGACAAAGAGTTTTCAACATTTAGTGAAAATGATTTTTGTTTGCAAGCATAAATTCCTCAAGATCACAGCATTTTTACTTTTCATAACAATAGAATACTGTTTGTCAAGACATTTCTCATCCAGAACATGGCGCAAACATGTAAACATGATAAATAAATCTGCCAGGTAGTTATTGCATGTAACTCTTTCCCATAACACCAGAGCATAATTTCTCTATTACCTATATCCTGACTTTAAGAAAAACCTTTCAACATTCAGCCTACTGGCAATAGACATGGCAAACACTGCTAGGGTTCTTGGCATTAATCTATTTAATGTCATACATCAAAGGGCATGGTGAAATAACAGTGAGAAAAGAAATCAATTTTGTGAGTAAAAAAACAAGCATTGTTCTCTTTAATCACAGACCCCTGCCAGTAATCCTGACGGCCTGAGCTGACTGAAGTATTGTGCCATGATGAATATCAACCGCAATGAAAAGACCGCATACATTTCTATCTGTTATAGTGCAGATGTTAAAAAGAGATTAGTTTTGGACAAGGGATATAAACTACACAAAATGAAAACTAATATTACTCCTGAACACGAAGACCTCTGGTCATGGAATTCTTCTGTGGCCCTTCCCTTGTTGGTCCAAATTCTTTCTGTCCCATCAAGACCATCATTACAATGTCTAAAACATGAAACAAAAGCCACAAATATCCACTCCTTTTTGATTTTCTACACAAAATGCTACTAAACACCCACCAAGTAATCAGTTTCAATTGTTGTATATTACTTCTTGTTTATCATTTCGATTAATCAGATAGAAACCATTGATAGCCTCGAGTGCTTTGGCCATAAACTGTTACAAATGAAAAACCCAGTAATGGACTGTTCAGTGTTCAAAAGCGTAAAACGTAACGCCCTTGGCACATTATTTTACTTCAGTAAGCCTAAGTAGGCAATGCAATGAACATCACACCACAAAATTTAACAAATCCAAAGACTTGGAACCTGTGGCTACGAACCTCAAACCAAATTCATCAACACGCATCTATTCTTCTATACAAACAGCTGACAAAAATCCCCAAATGTAATCATCTTTGTTTGATTACTTTTAACTTTTATTTTTTACATTATAACATCCAATAGTACATTTTTGGTTGAACATAGAAGGCTGTAGGTGAACAGCAAGTAACCAGGAAATAATGCAACATCCACCCATCAGCTGTAACACACTCAAGTGTTAACACATGGGCTCCTGCAGCTGATTAAGCTTTTTTTTTACTTTTTAAATAAATAACACATTTTTTGAAAGACAGACCAACATCATTAACCCTTGTCATGTTTTATCACAACCAGTGCGTCACCCTCTATATTATCGGTGACAGTTGTGTCCCACATAATAAGTTAGGAGAGCAGACAGACTACATCCATGTATGTTCTGGTGATGCATAAGGACTAAAGTTGTTCCCTCCCTAAATGTGCATGTGAAGGGCAATTAGGGCCTTATCAGAATCTGAATACATTATACATATAGAGAGAGAAGACTCATATATAGCCACATATACCTGTATATACATACATACATTCACAAAGTGTGTGTGTGTGTGTGTGTGTGTGTGTGTGTGTGTGTGGCAGGAAAAGGGTGGGGGATAGACAGGCCAAACAAAGATCTTAAAAAGACTTTGTTTTCTTACCCTTTATTCAACATTAACAAGCATGCAAGGCTTATCACTGCAAACATGGGTGGTGTCTGAAGAGGGATCATGCACTTATTCACTGAAGCACATCATTAGAGATAAAATGCGCAGATAACCCCTTACCGATTTAAAGGTTGAATTGTTCCCTTCCACAGTTGTCTCAGCTACACCTAAGCTTTCCTTATTTTTTCTTGTACGTCTGCAGAGAGAAAAAAAGATGCATTCCAACATTGTTCATTTTATTATAATGTTCTTAATCACATTTTCCTGAGTTTTAAATGGAGAAGAAATATAATTTAAAAAAAAAAAACAAATTGTTAGCAAAAGGAAAATAACAAAACCAAGCAAATAAAACCAAAATATACGTAACATTCACCCAAAGTTATGTGTACAAATATATTATTCAAACAAATATATTTCACTTTCAAAAACAAATCTCTGTGCATGGCTGGTATTTTGAAAGAATGTTTCCCGTGTATCTTGTGTCGCGTTTTCCTGTATAAACTGCAACAAAGAGGTTATCAGAGGATAGCAAATAAACTATAAAGATAACAAACCCTCAACCACAAATCAATTAAACAAGCAACTGAACTCATGATGCTGAAAGAAAAACCAAACAATGTATGCATGCAGTCCACTGTTGCTGGGTTTGTTCCAAATACTTGAGAAAAGAAAGTTATGTGTAATAGTTTGCTGTGAACACTGCTGACGCTATTTAATTAATGAGCCAGATAACACCAAAACGTTTGAAGAAAATTATTGAATAATTAACTAATCTATAGTGTATATTGAAATCTATTGTTCTAAGTTTAGGATAAACACATATGCTTTATAGACAATTAGGAAATTAGAACTCAAAAGAGCTTTCATGGATCACATTTCTCACTTCATGAAGTTATTTTGGTGATATTGTTTCATGTATTAATCTCCATTTTATGCATTATTGAAATATAAAGATAATACAGTAAAACCATGATTAATCTTTAATTTAAAAAAACTGAGTAAGAAAGTTTAAGCCAAAAATCATTGCTGCAACACAAAATATTGTACCAAATCAGAATATGATAAAGCTTTGACAAATGTACAAATCTAATGTTATCTTCATTGAAAACTACATATACTAGGTTTTTTCTTTAATTTCATTTACAGATGATAAATTACACCTCCAAAACTCCTAAGGGAACATAGTGAATGACAATAAAAGAAAATGAAACTTAATGGAAGCTCTCTGGTCTAGTGCAACCCAAGGAAATGCAGAACCCTGTGAAATTGACTGTGGCACTCCATAAAAATACACAAAAAAAGCAACTAATAGTCTAAACATGTACAAAGACTGCCAATTTCATGCACCTGTTCATATATATACAGATACATATCCACACTAAGCTCTTGGCTGTCAAATGGGAAAAGAATACTGTCACTAGTATATGATATCATTCCATTCACCCATGCTGATTTTAGTATTCATGAGGATTTTAGCAAAGTGTCTTCAGAATGGCAAGGACTAGGTTATGCTGAAAGTTATAATTGTCGGTTAAGAAGGGAGAGTGGCATATATTAAAACAGAGGGGCAAGTCACTTAATGTAGAAAACTTAAGGTTAGCATGAAGCTTCATCTGATTTACTCATTTTTTAGGTGAGATAATGAGGATTAATTTTTTTCATATCTTCCAAATATTTCCATTTTTAATGGTGAACTGCTCTTCCAACATTTTAAACATGTTCTCCTTAAAATACAGCTAGGATACAGCTAGGATACAAAGCATGTTTTGAAAGTCAAAGAAATTTCCTCATTATATTCAATGTCAAAATAGCCTGGGCTAGGAATATAACACTGGTGGAGGAGAATATTCATAAGGACTGGGTACTGTGGATAAAATTGCTACTTTCTAAAAGGGTGACTGCATACATAATAATAATCATTGTCATATCTCAAAAAAAGTCTTAACAGCTATGTTGTTGCTTGGACCAAGTTATGCCACAGTGCCCATAATGCTATATGACTGCTGTGCTACATAATGCTACTGTTACCATTTGGTGCATTCCAGCTGCGCAGGGAGAACATGAAACTGCAGGTGATGTTATCAACAGAACTAGCACTTCTAGTGAAAACTTCTACATGCAATTGATAATTACTCTGTTTAAACTTGGGTTTCCTTGTCACAAAACCAAGGTGGATGGTGATACCCGGACCTTGTGAAAGAAGTTTTCTCTCTCCTTTGGGTCAGTGAGAAAGAGGAGATGAGAAATGGATTGATTAATAACAAGCTTGTGTCAGATGCTTCATCAGTCAATACACAATGTAGAAACAGGTGAAATGTACATGTCAATGAAAAACTCGCAATTAAAATAAACTGATCAATTAGTATTGCCCCGGAGGGCAACTCCAGTTAGTTTGATTTAATATCACATATCAATGAGTTATTTGTGTGGGGCAAAACTTCAAAGTGCTGCTCAGTCTGTTACGTACCTAGTCTATGTTCTGCACACATATTATGTTCTGAAATCTGACAATTCCAGCTAAATTTGATCAGCAATTCCTTAAGCTTCTATGATGTTAATACTTGATCTATTAGTAATAATGTGCTATATTATATACAGGCCAATGATGGTCAGTTAATTATTAATCAAATAACAAATTATGCCACTTAGTAGGTTTAAGAGTTAAAAACCTGGACTGCACCATCCTTTCATATTATCAAATACCTGTCCTTAAAATGAAAAGATCATGGCACCTGAATACCACCTTGCATATTTCTGATTTTATGAGGCAATACAGGTACAAAGGCATGAACAGATAATATCTACCCCTCTTAACTCACCTGCATACTATGAATAACACAACTGCTACAAGGATAAGTATAAGTAATGAAGCTCCTATTCCAAGGCCCAATCCAAGCATCCCAGAGTTTGCCCCAGTAGTTGAGGCAGCAACCGAGGCAGATGTCTGATCAGAACTCATTGCGCCTGTTGATGTTGCTGCCATTGTTGTAGCATCTGGGGATAATGTCCAAATGGTATTTGCCTTATTGCTACTGTCAGCATGGGAAACGGCCACTGTAGTCATTTTCCCATTATCATCACCTCCAGTGCTTGATATAATTACAGTAGGTTTGGTAGTAATAACAGGGGGTAAACTTGAACTGTGCTCATCTTGAGGCCAAAGGGTTGCATTTAATGTGATGGTAAAATTTTCTAACTCCGCATTTTTTAATTTTATATCAATATTACGTGTTATTAAACCATACTCCTGTAAAGTCTGGTTATTGAAGATAAGATCCCCTGGGAAGGCCGGGAATGACCCTAACCATACATCATTAGTGAAGTTCCTCAACTCATCTCGCCATTCTTCAATTTCTGGGCAGTTTGTTGAATTCCTTATACAGAACATATTGGCTTCACTCTTCTCATACTGAAACACAAAATCACATTACAGATGATATGTGATACATAGTACAATTAATATAGTGGTGGCAATAATGATGTTATCTCAATAACTGTTGTGGAAGTTGATGTCAACTTTATTCAGGGAAATTTTCTTAATTTCTACAAACATTTAAATTCATTATCAAATGTTTGACTTTGACTTTACTAATTTTTGTTTTTTTTTTAATAAAATTATTCTATAATTACATTTTTTAGATTTTGCTTCGAAATATCACTTTTGCTACCTTTCTCATTTATTATTTCTTTAAAAATGAAAAAATCGGAGAAAATCAATAAACTTTATAGAATTCATTGTCAGAAAATCTATAGTTTAAAATTAAAGTCGAATCACATACAGGAGCAGAAACAGATATCAAACAATTAAACAAATTTAAAACAAAAAAATTAAACTTGCCTGACTGTAGAGAAGTACTGCGACCAGTAAGTAGAACGTCCGCATGCTTTCAACTAGGATCGATTATACTTGCGAAGTTGTGTGCTATGCAAAACTTTGGAAAAACAAAGGCAAACTTATACAGCTCTCATTTTTTCATCTAAAAGAGTTTCCTTTATCCGCTGAGTCCACGCTCAAAGTCAAACTTCAATAATCCGTGCGGGATACATTCAACGGTTACCTTTCTTGTCCAACCTACAACGCGAAACGCGAACACTGGTTGCTCACGACAGCTGCTTTCGTGTTGACATGAACTCGGAAGTAGTACTTCAGCAGGTCAAACAATCCCGCACTCAAAACCATCCACCAATGACAGGTGACAAAAACAAACGAAGTTAGCAGGAGTCACGAGCAGCAGGTTGACAAGCATATAATAAGCCACAGGAAACTGTAACAGTAGGTAGATATATAATTTTGGTAACTTGTATTTTAGAATATTTAGAAGGCTCGGAATGTTTAATAAGCTTTGTGCTCATGTAGAGCCTCTTCATGCACACTTTTTCTGCGCTTTTCTCAAACAATAAAAATTGATGATGAAGCAGATGTCACATAAAATCTAAGTAATTCTGCGAAGATCTGCAAAACAAGATGCGAGTTGAGCAATGTTTTGTTGTTTCAGTACTGGCAGTCAATTACTGCACGTTCCCAAACACACAAAGATGACGGTAGATTCTAGAACGTATGAGCTGCAGCCTCTTTCCACACTGGGACGCTTCTACATCTACGCCATCCATGGTTACGTTACAGAAGTTATGTTCACAGCGACCTGGGAGTTTGTAGAGAACGGGAATTGGAAGTTTCCTGGGAACACCAGTGTGTGGTGCCTTTTTATATATGGTATGTGCCAACTGTATCGAACATAAATTCAGGTATAGATCTTTGGTTGAAATTATATTAATTTAATATTTTTAGGGAAAATGGTTGATAGACATTGTACATATACAGTACGTGTAAGATAGGACAGAGTTTGATGACCTTTATGAGAATTCAGTTATTCGTTTATTACATTTCAGCCCTCCATTTCAGCACATACGGCATATAATTTTTATGGAATCTTTATCTCCTCTAGGTATTTCAACAATGGTCATTGAGAAGATGTACTTCAAGCTGCGTGATCGACAGCCTTTACTTGTGCGTGCCATGATATATCTCATGTGGACTTATTTCTGGGAGTTCAGCACTGGATTTATCTTAAAACAGTTTGGAGCCTGTCCCTGGGACTATGAACCATATTTTAATGGGCACTTTATGGGCCTTGTAACACTGGAATATGCCCCTCTTTGGTATCTAGGTGCCATCTTTGTGGAGCAAGTTATTATTAAATATTCTCTACAGCTATACTGGGGAGGAGAAATGAAGCATGGGGTGGTGTTATCAAAACCCTCAGCAAGCAAAGTTAAATAGGAAAAAACCATTACACCTAGTGCAAAATAAAAAAATGGAGCATTTTTAACATTAACTGCATGCTGGAGACATACTGTCAGTTCAGGTTCTAAGTTATTGTCATTATAGGGCAAGAGGTGCATTTTTCTTAGCTGAACATATTTGATTGGTGTGCTGTGCATGTGTCCTGAGTGGTCCAGGATACACACTGTAGATAACAGAAAATATTTTTATTCCAGCTTTAGTTGGACATGAAGTATATTTTGTTGTCTCATGTACATGTACTTGAAGAGGTGAAGAAGCATTTAAAATTTTTTTCAGGACTTTCAATATTAAGTTTTGAACAGTTAGGAGCATGCTATATGTAGTACAGTGATAGAGTGTGAAAAAGTAGAGGTTAATGTTTTCAATTTCTGATTTTTTCCCGTAGCTAATCATTATACAGAGTAATGAACTTCCACAATATATTGTAAGTTGTGGAATTTCTCGTCAGTAGGTGTAAGGGTTTGTCTGGGGACCAAAGTACAGATTAAGGTCACAGTGGTCCAGATTTATAGAAAACATTCCACATATCTTGTATGTGCATTATCTGAAGACTGCCCTCTGAAATTTACTGAGTAAAGAACCTTTTTTTATATATACAAGATTCTTTTAACTTGCCAAATGCTTCTTGAGAGATCTCAGTTATTATACAATTACTAATTGGGTTTTATGACAAACTTTTGTTTACCTCATAGCACAAATGTTTTTAAATTCAAGATTTTTGTTAGGTAACTCTTAGACTATTGATCTGTCTGCGCAATCCATTTGTATGTTTTTATCTTGCATTGTGTTTGGACAACATCTGAAGAAAAACTACACTGACATGACGTTTTTTCTTGTTCTTATCATCTTATGGCTATTGTGCAATTTATAAAAGATGGTTAACCTTATATCTTTATAATCTGGAAAGGTATGTCTTGTTTTGTTGTAAAGTATGTTTACATACTTTTGAATTTACTTATTATCATATTTAAGAGGCTGTATTGAAACCAGGTCCACATTTATTGACTGACCAATAAATCCAAAATCTCTTTCAGAAGTCTTATTGTCTACGTGACTAGGTATCTTTTGTGTCCTAGACTATTTACATTCTAAGCTCTGAAAGTTTAATTTACCACAGTAAAGTGGTTAACATAAACTGATGACAACTTGTCAAAATTGCTTTTTTTCTGGTGCCTTATTATTAAATCAAAACACAAAATTTTGACTTTGAGGGGTGAAAACAGAATTGTGAATGTATACAACTGCTGAGAAATAGCTCCCTAAATACATTATCTCCCAAATTAAAATAAAATAGCTAATAGAGGAATATTTGTGCACATGTAGTGTAGTAAGAAAGGATAGGCACTTGTAACAGAAAAGAACTTGAAAGAGAGAAATGACAAAAAGGAAAATAATTTCAGCATTATATTCTTATTATTGTTGTTTGCAAAAAAAGAGTTTCTTTTAATTTAACAGAAAATGATGCGCACCACATATCAATCCTATTATTATACGTGGGCCATTTTAGCTTAATTCCAAAATGATGACAGAGGGCAGTGAAAAATCACCTCTCTATTATCAACATGAGAAGTGTTTCCAGTGTCCTAAACTCAGGGTGGCTAACATTAGAGTTGACATACACAAACAAATATACTAAATTCACCAAAAGTAAATATCATAAATGGCATTTTATTCAATATTTTTAGAGATAAGTACATTTCTTTTTCTCAAAATATAGTTAAAATGTCTATTCAGTCAAATTGGCAGTCAAAGCATCTGTTGCTTATTCAGGCTAAAATGCAGTTTAAGCATTAAAAAAACTCTACCACCAACATGTATAGCTGCCTGTGAATACATCACAAATATGTATAATGAAGATAACACACATTCGTTTGTGAAGTATAAAAATATGCACAAAGTAGTACTTATTGTTTTACAACAAAAATCCCTTACTCTCAAAAGTAGAAAAAATATAATTGCTGTCCACATTACAATGAGGTATATCAGCCCACTTGACACTAGACGTCACTGTTGTACATGTACTTTCAGTCCTATTGCTGCCATTTTGTTGACGTGTTTGAAACTACTGGAAATTTTCATCACAAACATGCTGCAGTATTGTTGCATACCTGAAGGTCAAAATCAACAAGGTGTGCATCAGTTTCCCAAAAATTCAGGACTTCATTTGAAACTGAGTTTTGCCCTCAATCATGCCTGCACAAACACAAAAAGGAATTTGGAATCCCAGTCTAATAATGATATAACTGTAGGTGTGAAGTACCCGGTATCTATGTTTTCCTCACTGGACAGTAAAAATACTATCTCACATGGTTTCTTCTGTTTTTTAAGTTTCTGACAATGAATAACACTTTCTAAAATGGATGTTCAAAAGAATTGTTTAAATGAAGGTTCTTATATTTTTCTGAATGCACAAAAATTTACAGGGAATTTTAAGCCCATTCAATTATAATGGAGCTGATATACCCCAATGAAGAAGCATCATAAAATTATACTTTTGCTAGCATCATTTTCTTGTTATGTCTTTTCTATTTTCTTCTTGGGTCTTGGATAACTTTCATCAATTTGCTGCCAGCACCTCTCACAATGCTGTACCTGAAACAGAATTTTTACAGCTTTTTAAAATAATTTAAACATCATTTTGACAAAACCATGCAAAGCATGATCACGACAAAATAAAGCAATTCTACAGGTAAATGTTACACCAACAAACACCAATGCTTTTCTTCTGAAACCATGTCTCCTTTATATTCAAGTGCTGTTTCAGTGTTAAATGTGACATTGTGTTTATTGTTGCTACAGTTCACAGGCCAGTAACTGGCCACTTCAATAGAGGGTCTTGATGATAGTAGTTTTCTGTGTCTTCCAGAAGATGGTCAGAATATTTCAAGATAACATTAACAGGCATCTAATTTTTTGGTTGGAAGATGGTCTAAAATGGAGGATGGATCAACAAAGATAATATGGAAGACTGTCAGAAAATATCCCTGGACTTGTCCCTGAAAATTAATGATCTGGCTCATATGCAAACATAAAAGTGTCTATTGTCAATCAGACCATAAGCTTCGGCTTGCTATGAAACCTAATCACAGCACCAAAGCACTTACTGTGTGTTGGGGGGAATGCGGAGGCTGTCCTGTACCTTCAGTTTATATTTAGTGCCATCCACTACAGCTGTTGACTCCCCATGCTGGAAATTACAGGACATCAAAATTTTATACAATCAAATATTTCAGCAAACAGCATTCCAGGTTAAAATGATCCATCAAAAAGTCTACACTCTTTGCAAGTAAAAAAATTCACAATATGTACGGGCTCCCATTACTGTAGTTTACTGTAAGTACACAACTTTTTATATTGTATCCTGGATCAAAGTATAAAAGTTAAGTGAACACTTTTATCTCTGTACAAACCAGCTTTCATATTCATACCAATTGCCAGAGCCATATTTCTCCACCATCCCAACTCTCTTGCTCTTCTCCTGGCCCCAACACATCCACCTGTCAATAAATATTAAATTTCATACATGAATGTAAATTCAGGTTAAAACAAGGCAGCAAAGCTGTCAAATGTACAGACAAAAAGCAGGAAATAACTATGCACAAAATAGGCTACTGTCAATTCTGATGCAAAAGTACATTATGTTTGACTGTAAATTCAACATCAAATTTTAATTATGCTCAACAGGTAATACCAATGAAAGTAAAATGTGTAACAAGCATAAGGCTTCAGGCCCATGAGAGTTCAAGTTCACACTTTGAAAATGTATAACTTCCAGAAAAAGAAGCCAATTAGACTGCTTTTCCAACTCAGGCTGCATGCCGATTTTCGAACTTGACCTCCGTTTTAGTAAGATCGATTACTCCTGAGAGTTTCACGACAACAGGCCTATCGGTTTTCCTTGAAATGTGTTTACAGTGTTGCATATATGTTGAAAAGTGAAAGAAAAAAGCATAACTTCTACAATAATGGCCCGATCATCCTGATTTTCGAACTTGACCTGCGTTTTATGAATATTCATCAGCTCTTTAAATATAAAGCCCAAAAGTAAAACTGCCTTCCACTTATCGTGTTTACAATGAAAGTGCAAGGTGCCGGCAACAGCGATGACGGCGACGACAGACGCAGGTGATGGCAATATGTACAGACACATCTGTACNAAAAAAATAGAACATAAATGATTAGACTTGCAATCTACAAGTTTGTTCACACAAAGTTGGATTATGGCATCCTGTTGATAATTAGACTCCTCTGAGTCAAGGTTTTTACATTATTATTATTATTATTATTATCTTAATCATAATACTGTGCTTTATAGGTTTTGTTCCTCAAAGCACCCACCGTAAACTGATAACCATCACCAAAAACTCTCTTAATGCCCTTTGTTTCAATTTCATTTTCATTTTTGGTCAGCCAATCAGATAGCAAGAATGGTTCTTCCAGTTTCCTACTGGTATCAATCTCAAATGGAGTTTTTTCAGGGATGGTCCCTGAAGAAAAAAACAACAACTTTATATCAATATGTGAAATAAACTGATTTTTTTCCCCTATTTGGGAGAGCCCATGGAGATTATTTCATTAATTCTGTCATTCAATATTTTGTAATTAAAGGGAATAAAACATCAAGCATACTGGTATATCCTGTTCTACTGGCTTTAAGGAAAAACAATTTATTATTAAAACTATAATTACATGTGTCAATGTTCTAGTGTCAATGACTATCAAAGTTAAACCCAAATTACTTGTATCACCTAACATTCTGATACTGTTTATATTAAATACTCCTGTTTACCAATCACATTATCATACATGGTACACATTGTATCACAATATAACTAACAATATAACCAGCTATACACTCAACTTGCACATCCAACACAATCAGCACCCAACCTTTATCACCCCTAACACATCCACCAACATCATATCTTCCAGACTTTGGGATTATAGAGAATGTCTCAAATACCTGGCACTGACTTCCCCGTCTTACACTGCTCAGATGCGAAGAACCTAAGTCAAACAATTTGTCAGAGGATGATAAATTTAATACTACGTTAGAATGCAACCAGGAAAACTTATCAAACAAATGTTTTTAATAGTTGCAATATGTAGAAGTCATCCACACAACTCTAGGACGGTTAAGCAACATGATAATAAATGTTTGTGCATTTAGAGTCAAATTGTTAAATAATAAAAATGCTGTCCAAATATCAAATCAAAAATCAATTATTCTGATAACTCACTTACTCCTTAATGATAGGCCCCAGTTGTGTACCAAGGTCCTCACAATGAAACCACTTCTCAAAAAGAGGCTCCATAGTTGGTTTTCCATCTTTCTCTACAAAGTACCTGTGGAGGGAAAATTGGCAACTGAACAGGTTTCAGATAAGTTTTGAGATGTCATTAATCACATCTCTACTAAATGCCAGCAGTTTTAGTTAACTGAGAAAGTTCTGGTACATTGAACCTTCGCTTTTTCATATAATAAGATTAAGTTGACAGATAAACAAAGTTGCTAGTACTGAACCTTTCTGTTAATTAGCAATTTCCATCAAAATTTGAACTCTGTTGAAGAGGCAATTATACATTAATTGTGACGTAGTGCTAGCAATACAAGTACAGGCTGTTATGACGTGTTTTTGTCAAACCTCAGACCATCCATTTCAGTCTCTGTTCTCTCCCTCTCTATGACCAAGCCTATGGTGTCAGACTGCCGCTGTGGAGAGTGGGGGATACGACCAGGAAGCAAGAACAACTGAACAATATATCATCAAATTAATGAATTTGAGAAATTAAGAAAGTATCATTAATATTTATTAATTTCAAACATTTTCAAAGTATTTCTGTACATTGTTTCACATGAATGCAAGGGATTCTTCTGCTGAAGAAAACAAAAATTTTTAAATCCCTTTTACTATTTATTTCTTAGGGAAATCAGGTATGTTTTTCTTTTTTATATATTTTTGAAGCAAACTCTTTACATACTGTTGACTTGTCCCCAATGCAAAAAGTACAATAATGAAACAAAAAATAATTGGGCAAGTTAAAATTATACAATTGCAACATAAAATGAGTGGCTGCATAATTGATGTGACTTTTTTGTAGAATGACCTTTTCATTCCACCTTTCAACTTAAGTCAATATCTTCAGATTGGTAACTGTAAAGATATCAACATGAAATCCAGCAAAAGTTTTTCCTTTTCATATATGCTTCACAGAATCACAGTTACCTCTCCTTCCTTTATTGGGATATCTCTATGTTTGCCCTGTTCCACCACCTTCAGACACATATCCCCTTTAATCATGTAGAACAGCTGAAATATAGCAAACATCAACAAAAAATTAGTAAAAAGAAGTACATTTTTAAAAATATAAGTTATCATTGCTACAACATAACGTAAACAAAACTCATGCCATGAGGTATCAAAAATGTGTATATTCAAGTCACAGTAATATGTTGTCTGTGCAAGGACACTTTCATATTCAGCATGTACCCGTAACACATTGTTCTGCCTCACCAAATGTCACACGGAATGTATTTTCAGGGCCACAGGCAGTAGATATAAAACCTGCAAACATCAATTTACATGTATTCTAGGCCTATAACTACTGCCAGCCCTTTGAATTTTACCTCTTCTCCCTCTTCCAAGTGGTAGTCTTTGCGTTGGTTTGGCCCACCAACAAACATGATTTTCTGCTGGTCATTATACCTTAAAAACAAACAAACATTCTTGTTACAAAAGCTAAAAAATAACATTTATATTCCATTCACAGAATTTGCAATCCATTAACTCATTCAGTTACAATTTTAAAGTTTTTGTAACTGCGACTGGTGATCATTCTTGATGCTTAAAATTGGAAATTTCGCAACTTAAAACAAAGTTTAAGCACATACCCTTTTTTAATAGTCATGGGAAGGGAACACTTTGATTAAAAGAAGAAAACATCTTCTGTTTCATGGAAAACATTTGTTTTGTCATGCTTTTCATATATATCTAAGTCTAATGAGCAATTATTAATTAAAACTAGACAGTAAGGAATCCACATACGTGCTGTCATTCAAAACAGATGAATGCATTTAGTTGGCAGCTTTATAAGTAAAATGTCTTCAAAATGATTACCCCTTTTAAGAGAAGTATCCAAAAACAAATGTTTTTAAATGGTCCAATCAAGCTGATTTTCAAACTCGACCTATACTATGAATATTCATCAGTTCTGCAAGTTTGAAGACAAAAGGTGAAACGGTTTTCCACTTATCGTGTTACCTCTGAAAGTGCATGGTGATGACGATGACGAAGGCGACCACAGACACAGGTGATGGCTATATGTACATACACGTACAATGTGTCTGTAATGCAAAGACTTGCAAAATACCTGTATAAATATAATGAGTCTTGTAAATAAAAAATTGATCATGCGTGCTGATTTTCTTTTTATACCAAATTTAATTAAAACCACATATTAAATCAATTTGGAAGTAAAACAAGTATTCAGTTTTGCAAGTTTGGAGTGGACAACAATAACAATGGCATCAACAGTGGAGGCAAGGACATGTAAACACACAGTTGTTCAAGGTCAGATTATGGCCTGAAAGGAGAAACCTTTGGTCCCCCATCAGGATTGACTTGACAATTCAAAAGTTGCCATTCAAATTCACATAAAATTTGAGTATTTTTGTGGTCAAAATTTTCACATGACTACCTGCAAAACTCACTGTTCAAAGCCTCAGAATTCACCTGACCAGACCTGTCATGTTTCACTTTCATTACCTAGAAGACCCGCAGAATTTTACACCCGTCCGAAAGACACCGGTTTTACCAAATGTCTACCAGGGTCACAGATTGGTTTTTTTAACAGATATTCACGAATGTGTCACTGGCTAATTCGCACAGGAAAAAAGCGTCCATTTATCTGGTATGTGAAGAGCACGGGCTTGATGGTGACTGGCAGTGCACACTGTTTTAAAAGTTAAACATACTTTGGAACGTGCACGCAAGCTACATGTCATATATGGCTCAATATACGTGTCACTGCTAGTACATGTAATAGTTTTATAATACAATGGCACACTGTTAGCAGTAGTAGTACTATATAGTAGTACGTACAGCAATGTATATACCTAGTCAACCGAGTGGAGGCAAATGTCACTGAAATGTCGTGGCTCCAAGGGGTGGAAACGCGCTACTTATATGATTATGACGACCCTAACCGTCAGCACCGGATATTAGTTAGTGACCTTGAGGGGCAATTAGGCTTGGTCTTTGCGGCACGCGCGAACAGTAGTCGATCTACCACACCTGGGTCTTTTGTTTTTGACAACTGTTCACTCGTCAAGGAGGTGCTTGTTCAAGACTACAGACTGATATCTACTAGTACTACCAGTGGCTTCATTAGTAACGTTCCCACAATACATGGTTTTCTGTCTGTGCGTACATACCCTGAATTTGGTTAGCCTCACTGACGAGAACAATGGACGTTTAATTCTTACCCCTCTCTAGGATTACCCCTGGTGGCACTATCCAGTGACTGTCCGTTATAAGACTGACATAATAATATTGGTGTCTTTGGTCGTAAATGATAGCTAATTAAACAGGTACTTACATTAGTTTGTTGCAAACTGGTGGCAGAAAAAACTTTTCGTTCTCCTGCAACCAATCTTTAACGTTGCAGTGTGCAACAGGCACCTGGCCTTTCGCCGTCGCCATTGTGTTGTCTCGGCCTAGTTCCAAAATTCTGACCTAGATTTGCTTGGAAAAATAAGAAAGGGCGGTTGGGACAGTTGGGAGAAGGCAGACTTGGGAAACGTTTTGTTCCCGAACTCGTTTTTTTTTTTTTTTTATCATTTCGTCCAAGTTTTGATTTCTTTTTTCATGTCCAAAATAGAGAGGAAGATGCACTTGCCTAAACTTTAATGCATATTTTTATGAGGTCTACTTATATTGGCCTACCCTACCTACATATTACTGATATCTTTTTTGCGTGGGGGCCATGTCCTGGCCTATATGACCCCGCACCGAAACCCCCTCCCCTTTAGTAAATGTTTGCATTCGGAGACTTCGGACCGTTACTTCCCCAAATCGCTTGCCTTCTCCTCCTCATGCAGTTTTCATATACCCCCCCCCCCCCCCCCCCCCCCCCCATATTAGACCTTAGGAAAACCTTTGAAAGTTTGATAACGTTTTTTTATACTTTGAAATCGCCTACACTTTGGATTCGACCCTCCTTCCATAAATAAATTCCACCATGAAATTTAGTAGCTACGTGTATGTTTCCTCATAAAACATTTGAAATAAAAAAATTAATTCGTCTACCGGCCCTGTTTATACTGTAGGCCCCCTATACAGTCGCCAAAATTTAAATACAGTAGTTCTAATTCAAAAGAAGAAATTTTAAATTTGAAAATTTGGTCGTCTTTTGAAAGATGAAATCCTTCTACAAAATTAACTTACTTGAAGCAATAAAGATCAAGGTTGGACAGTGTACGGCGTTTTTACAACACTTGTGTGGTTTGCCATTGTTGTGAAGAATCAATTCTTTCTGTCTTTTTTGCGATACTTATGTCATAATTTCCCCACAACACTACACTCTACGGTCATGGGTAATCATTTTAATTCCACTTTATTTTTAAAAATTAATTTTTTTAATTTTAACTGTTTTTCCTTTTTATCTGCTCCTATCCTATTTAAATATTTAATATTCTAAACAGACAATGATGAGCGATGATGATATTTATATACAGTATGCTGACTACTTCTATGGCAGGACACCAATGGGTATCAAAAAAAAAAAAAAAAGAAAAAAAGAAAAGAAAAGAANAAAAAAAAAAAAAAGAGCAAACATGCATACGTCGCTGTTAAAGTCAATGTATATTACCCTATACCCACTGACCTTACACTAGATAATACTTTATAAATATTTTATTTTATTTATGCGTCACAATTTTATTTATTCCCTGATTTACTGTGCTTGTACGCATTTAAACAGAACAGACTAAAACAGAAAAAACGCGGATAAACCGTTTGGACGAGTAGGCCTTATACATGTTCAATTGTTTATAGGCCTACGTTTTCATAATTATTCAGTGAAAGAATGAACGCAAACGATGACAGGAGAGTGCGTGTAATTAGAGGACCATAAGATAGGTGCTTTCAAGGCTTTCTTGCCCTTTTTTATTTCCAACTAAAATCGTTCAATCTTACAAACATGATATAATAAACAGATTAGATAATAAAAATTTCCACTCAAATTGTGAAGCAACGCTTTTCACTTTTAACTTTATGCTGGGATATAATGAGCAATCCTAGTATTTTCAGTATTTGTTATAGAGGCAAACAGATATGTCGCATGCCTTTGACTTTTTTCAGGTCTTCGTCTGTGGAGAAACTTCACAATTTAATGTTTAAACACATGTAAAAACAGTCGCTTAGTTTAAGATATTCTTATTCTCTCTCCGGTGCATTCCAGCTTTCACAGAAAATATATTTACATTTATGAGTGTATAGATACTACCGGTAAATGAGTCAGGGATGAGCCTCCAAAAAAACCTTTACTAACTCTACTTTGTTGACTGTTTTCTTCCTATCAGCATGGTTAGAATTGCGAATACTTGGAGAAAATTTACACCACTCGTTTGGTGAATGTGACAAAAAACTGCTTTGAATACAATCCACCTCACAGTTCGCGATCATATGCTCACCGCCTCGTACCAAATGGCAAAGGTTTTTGGTGACATTTTTTTACTACGGGACCGGGTTATATAGAACTTGAACATTTTTTTAATCTAAAAGCATTACCAATTTACACAGGCCGTCTGTTCTTCATTGAAGTAATTGCAGATGGTGCATTTTCTCATCTCAGAAAACTTCATCGTTTACGGGAAGAAAGGTCAGAAAATCAAATAATGGGTATTTTGATCCCACACGTATAATTGAGTATCTGGTAGTTTGGGTATTTTCTCTCAACCGATATCTTAATAAGTTGAATTGCCGACGTTTGAGTAAGGACCACAGACGTTCAAATATCAACCTTTTGGACATGGGGAGTAAAGGCATCTTGTCCTCGTTCACGAAAGTTGGATATATCAATGAATGTTAGGCCTACAGTGTCAAATCAATGTGACAATTTCTTTAAGCCCTTTTATAACGCCATCAAACTTTTATATCTGACACCCATAACGACAGCAAGGAATGCTTCGATCAGCTGGAATCGCTCACCATGGAAAGTCTCTGGATGTCATTCGTGTTCTGAATAGCATCCCTGGTAACACTTTCAGATCTTTACACCTCAACTCAGAGGAGTTAGTAGAAGACATAAAAATTGCGCTTTGCACTAACACTTAAAACGTTGGCGGCTTTTAATGTGCTGCCGAACGCAGACATGTTACTAGATTGTATGCAGATTCAAGTTGAGCTCGAAACCCTTGTACTGAAGAACAGTAATATTCGAAAACTAAGAAGGAAAGATTAAAAAAATTACAAGCTTAAAGTTTTCAGATTTAACTTATAATTTTGGCTTGTTTGAAAGGTAACAGTTTGCATTGTGATTGTTCCCATACCTACAAGACTGGATAAATAAAATAAAATTTAACAATCAAAGCCACCTGCACCTACAAGACTGGATAAATAGAATAAAGTTTAACAAAGCCACGATACTACACTAACAAATATCAACTTCTCTGAACTATGTGACAAAGCGGTTGTACTGATTGTGCTAGCTGTGCTTATTGTTTTTCAACAAAACTGAGGTAGAATAACTCATTCGTACCACAATCGTGAGTGATGGCGGTACTCATGGTTGTGGTCCCGGCCCGTCTCTGCGTCATGTCTGCGGATACAAGTTCCCGTTACCGCTTCTCCTCCTCCTACACTACAAGGACCTACATTTAGGCCCTATGTCCTCATCTCTTGGAATTAGGTAACATAATCTTCATCTTGAACCCTTTAGTTTCCGGGTTCTGTCGGTGCATTTGCCTATGTGTGAAGCTCGTCGCTACGCATCCTTGTCAACATTTTTCAAAATTTAATGCTAAATATCTCACTAACTGAAGAAAATATGTGAAAAGTTATTACAGAATTCTGACCAAAAGTTATGTGCGTATATTATTGACAGGTCAAATGGGCCAAAATGTTATTGAAAAAATTGATTTCCTGCCAAAAAATATTTGTTTGTGCTTATTTTCAGAAGCTACATAGACCTATGCTTTGATATTACGGTGAGACGTTACACTTGGGGGTTACACAAGGGGTCTCCCTAATTCGTCCTAGTGAGAATGGGGTCAATCGGTGTGTTTTCACGGGAGAAACGGCCGAACTCTCTCTAATTTTGAGAACTCTCTCTAATTTTGGATCCGTAAAAGGTGTAGACCTCTTGTTTGTTGCATTTTTGTAGAGCTTGTTAAGCACAACACTGAAAGCGGGGTGCGTTTTTTTTTTTTTTTTTTTTTTTTTTTCCACATACTGTTTAGGAGTTGCGCTATTTCAACAAAATACAACGTCGCACTGTTCAATGGTGATTTTAAAATGTGAAATACTCCAAAACTGGCAGAGATTAACCCATATATCCTATTGAACTTGAATAGGTAATAGTATATTGGGAATTTATTAATGTGACCTTACACTCTTGCCTAGCATAGTCTAACCTGCCTACTTCTAGGGTCTTCGTTCCTCCTATCTGTCGGCATCACACATTGGTTCAAAACCCTGTGCGCTACTGTTTGCGCCAAGAGGACACATTGATGGCTGCATGGCCTGCTGTATTTACCTGTATTGTTTACCTTGAAACACGCGTAAATAAAAAATTCTTACGTCGGTATCTAACCCGGATGCTTTGATTTAGTAATCCGGGCCCGGTTTCACCAACGAGGCGTAAATTTGCTCGTATACGACTGTCCGTGCGCAAGGTTTACTCTCCCTGTTAACGCAAGTTGCACCAAGACAAAACATCATCTCCCATTGTTGAACCACTGCCCAACAATTCTTGGATGGCCAAGTTAGGAGTTCGCAGCTGCAGTCATTATTGGAGAAAGACATAAATAAATACAAAATAAGCATTTTAGTGACAGAAAAGTTCAGAAGCTTCACTATTCCATTTTTATTTAATTAAAACGTTAACTTTGCTGTTGCCGGGGATGTACATGTATCGCAATGAATCCGCAAATATATTCTAAATCAAAATATTATTATAGTATGTTAAAACATTAAAAGCTTTGATTCCAATTAATGGATTTGAACAGCTTCACATTTGTTATTCAAACTTTTGAGTCTGAAAATAATGCCGAAATTGCACCTTTAACGCTATCATTGTTTTCTTTTTAATAGTTTTACAACAGTGGCAACAATTTCATAACCTACTTATCTATAATTGAATATCATGTGATATCTTTTAAATTAAGAGAGCTTACAGCTTTTAGCTTTTGAAATACAAGAACCCTAATAAGCTTCATATGATATGGGCCTTAAAATGATGATGTTCTAAGCGTCCGTCTCAATATGTTTTTGTATCGTAGGCCTATAACAGGGGCAGATCCTAGATTATTTGAAGGGGGGGGGGGGCCACGGATGCGAAGCCGATCCTCCCCCCCCCCCCCCCCCCCCTTTGGCGTGGGGTCGGGGCCGATGAAGGGCCCAGAAAAAAATGGTATTTAGAGGGCGAACGGTGCCATTTGGTACGGTTTAGAACTATGATTCAGCTAGTCCAAATTCTAATTTCAAGAGGGGACCGTCGGTGCGATTTTTTTCAGTAATCGAAGGGGGGTGGGGTGGGGTGGGGTGTTAGGACTCCCCTGACACCCCTTATATCCGTTACTGTAAAATATACATAACAACTTAAAAAACCTCCTAAACAACTTGATTGCAGTTATTTCTAATGAGTGAAATACATTGATTATAACTCTGACACCTAAATAATTTTACCAAACTGTCATAATTTTGTTAAAAATGGATGTTTAAAAGATGCAATTTGGCCATGAAATTACCACTATAACAGTTCCTTCAGCTGATAGGCCCTCAAATGTAAACATGTTTGCGTTATAAGATGATACGAAACCTGGTATAGGGCCTATTCTTAAACATTTTATTTATTTTTTTATTTCCACGTCCTATCGTTTGTTTGTTAGTTTATTTCTTTAAATGTCTACGTATTATTATTCACTTTTTTATATACACTGATTAGTTTATATGTAGGAAGTGACGACCCCTTATTTAAAATTCCTTGATAATCATAAGATTCAAGTACAACATGACTGGAATCTGCTATTTATGGCATTTAGCGTTAATCTACAATACTAAACACCCGCAAATTGATATCACGCTTCTTTTGCCAGTATGTTAGTGCACCAAAACCAGTAAATTTGCTGCGAAACTCGTCATAAAATTATGCTAACTGAGATATAAGTTTAGATATAAACCAACCAAAGAACAAAAGAAAAAGAGAAACAGAAGTGCATTTATATTAATCCAAAAGAAAGTGAACAACTCTCGCTTGCAGGCTTGCAGGGAATTCCCTGTTGACGTCATGGATGCTTGTCCAATCAAAAACTTCTTAATTGAAACAAAGCTGGTCGATTTCGATTGTCGCCGTCGATTAGAATATGTGCGATTTTTCTCAAAGACCAAAACAATGCATTTGATCTTAATTTGTATCTACAAAATCAAAATTATAAAGAAGTTGATTTTCGTATAGAGAATGTCTCATCAAATCTGCCTCAAATGTATCGAAACTACACCTTGAACCAAGTGCTGGCGTCTGTGCGCTCAGCAAGTTCATGCTTTGTTGTGTTAAAAGTTTGCTTCTCCAAGACGAAGGCTGGCACTCTCTGCGCTCATGATGTAAATTTGTCTTATCAACAATGGCCAATGTCCCAGGCGTTCCTCTTGGTGCTTCCAAGGAGAAAAAATCATGTAGTAGCAGCGGTAGTGACTCTAGCAGCACGGGGGAGGAAGAGCGACTGCGAAGATTATTTCAGGCATGTGATGAAGACGGAGATGGATTGATTGACAGGTAAATCCCCCAAAAAGTCGGTTGTCATCTTAAATTCATCTCTTAAAGTCAGGAGGGATTTTACATTAAAGGTATGACAGCTGCGTTTGGGGCTCGCGTTCTAGAATTTGGGCAAAGGGCGCAAAATGATGTGTGCAAAGTGTTGACTGCATGTGTTGTTTACATTTGTTATGAACTTGGTGTTAGCACCTGAAACGATCATATCTTACCGAGTCTTGTTAATAAAAACTGTCTACACGCAATACGCTCCCAAACAAGTTTCTGCGGTCTTAAAGTTGTATTTAGCAAATGTACTATTTTCATGCATACTGTCAAACTTAAATTTAAGTTCTTGTTTTTAAAAATGCAAGCATTCTATCTTTCATCTTCAGAGCTGTACGTAGTTGTTACTTATTTTGAATGAACATTTCAAATAAATTGACTTCAAAAAGATGAGACAAGGGACCACCTCCAGATTAACAAAAGTCAAAAGTCTTATATTTCACAGCACATTGGATCAGTCAGTTGATAGGATTGTTATTGTGTTGAATTGTTTATTGTGTTATATAATTTACTTGACCCTTAGCTTGATCCAAGCCACTTAATTTTGATTGAAAAGTGAAGTATAATGTTTTTCCAGGATAAAACAAATGCATGCAATCAATCAGTCTTTACTGAGTGAGTGCATATTGATTTGCAGTTAGGATGTAAATGTTTTGGGATAAAATCTCAGCAAGTATTTTGGCAGGAGTAAGTGTCATATAATGGGAATAACCATGCAGTATCTAGGCATAAGATTTGGAAAGAAGACTTAAAACATTAATATGTTTATTATGTGTAGGAAAGTAATAAGTATAACATGTTTTAGCAGATCAGCTCTATTGAATTATTGTCAAAATATCAGATTTGTAGGAAATAGCTGCATAGACATTGCTCCGTATCTGTCTGTTGCTGCAATTTGTAAACTAAGTGATCACAGGATGCTATATGGCACCAACACTAAAAGCAAATTTTATCAAAACATTGCAACAGGGACTAAAAGCTTCACCACTGGTGTGATAGAATGTGGGATATTTCCATGGAGACTGAGAGTAGTTAGCAGGTCTTCCATTGCTTGCCAGTGAGGATTATTTCCTAATTTTCACATTGATTTTAGATTTGTCCTCTGTGTTTATGGAGATTTGGATCAGAAAATTAGATTTCTATTCCGTATTTATGAAGGTTTGCAAAAGAATATGCATATTTATCACATTTGTATCAGTATGCCTTGAAATTGTTTCAGTGTTCATCAGGTTAGTGGTTAAAATTACGGGATTGGAAGGTTTCACATTATTTTTAAATGGAAAGGAGTTGCATATTTTCAGATGTATGACTAATGGTAATTGCTTTTGAAGACTTTTTTTTTTGTTGTTAAAACAAAGTCTTTAAAAAACTGTTTGCAATTTTTTTTACCAGAAAAGTGGCTTGCATACACTCTGTGTATATTTTTGTTATGCACAAGTATGGCTGATGGCATAACGCCATATCTGCAGTGTAGTGCATAACTGTCTGTCTGTTGCTTGGGTGTAACTTCTAGCTTGGTATGAAAGAATGTGCCAGAGAATGACAGGCCAATAATGCATGTGTATATTACTTGGAGATGAGTACAAGCTTTATACAAACTAGAGACATAAACATAACCTAAGGAAGGCTAGAGGAGGCTAACTACCATATGATCGTATGTGTATATTGAATGCAAAGCCAAGGCCATGCCATCAGATTCACAGGAATCAAATATGATTCGCATTAACCTAAGTGACTACACTGTCTCTTCCAAATAATATCCTTCCAAACTGCCCTATTCCCTGTGCAGATTACCTGTAGCAAGGTGTGGACATGATAGGAAGTGTAAATCAATGCCCATGGTGTGTGATATATGATTATTTACTTGCAAGCTTACTTAGCCTAATGGGATTTTGGTGACCTTGGGGTGTGAACTTCATTTAGGTCAGCTATGTTTACAAATATGCAGGGATAATCTTTTCTGTGAAAGATGGAGAAGTTTATTATTTATGTACATTCTTTTCACTCCTACCTAAGGTTGCTTGCCTCTTGACCATTTACCTTTGTGAGAAAGATTCTAACATGCACAAGATGAATATATCCATTACTTGAATGTATTTCCATGTGTCTTTTTTCTTGTTTTTTTTTTTTTTTTTTTTTTTTTAATCAGCAAGTTGCACTGTTCACCAGTAAAGATTAGACTTGATTTGTGTGTCAGTTGACTAGAGAGAGAAAAAAAGAAAGAAATATCTCTAAATTAGACAATGCACAAGGTCCAGGAACCTTGCCTCTGTGCCACAGTGATAACATTCTCATCTGGATATGTCTTTCTTTTCCTTATTGTTTACCTTTGATATGATCATAAAAATGATTGTTTCACAGTTGATAAAGATGTATTAAAACACATTACCTGAATGACAGACATTGGCATTTGATTTTGGTTCTGTTGAAATCCCTGAGGAATTTAATTTAATTTGATATTTCCTTTTCATTTTGATAGCAGATTGGCTTAGGGTCATTAGACCATGGTGAGACAAACTGATGGCATCTAGACAGTTTTTTTTTTCACATGAACTCTGCATACCTCTTTAACTTGATGAAATCCCACAAGGACTAATGCATAATCTTTTTTATTAAGAAAAGAAAAACTATAATTGAAAACAATTCAAGAGAGCCTATTATCGGGAATGGCCATTAGGGTAAGAGACTTAACGGAGTGAAAGAACCCTTTGGGTATGATTATTTTATTTATAAGTATTATCCCATGCCTTACAAATTTGTCTAGTCATTATCAGGTTGTTTAATACGATAACTTGTCAGGAATGAAAGTGCTCTTTGCGGACATGATAGTTATTTCATTTTCTGATCTATTAACAGTAGTGTGCCTTGAAGGGAACTTTTAAACCACTTAACTTTTCTGGGTGATATATTAATTTTTTTGTGCAATATTCTTGTTTCATCTTGAATAAGTATTAATTTTTGTACATGTTCAAGTCTGCTCTTTGTGGCTTAAAATTGATAGTTAAATTCTAGGCCTGCACATTGAGAATAAAGTGAGTATCAGTGTGCAGTCTCTCAAGTGCAGTATAGAAATATCTGTTGAATGGTGGGGTTTACCACAAAGAACTATAACTGTTCTTACTTCAGAGAAGAGAACTGTACATGGTGACACACCAGTAGTGGTATTGTGTGGTTAATGTGAGCCTGGGATAGCCTTAACCTTGTGATAAAATGGTAATAGTGTGCACTTGATTGAACTCCCTCACCTGAATCGATGGTTTATTGTTACATCTGGGTCTTTGTGGAGACAAGTATAAAAGGGAATGTTTGTTTTTATTTGGTCGATGTTTTATGATTTTCTCCCCCTGAATGCCAACAGTGAGAATTCTGAAGTGGAGTTGAGCTAGATGTCTGGAACTGTTTCCGTAATTATGAAGCTGACAGAATATTTGTATTGATTTTAGTCATGAAAGTAAGAGTTTGCCTCTTCAAATAGAGGATTGATTTGGAATATATGAAACCAAGTAGTCCCTTGAAAATAAAGATAATGCTGTGTATTCCATGAATAGACTTTCTTTCAAGAGAAATAAGTGTCAGGGCAACTCAAGTGCCATTTCACTGACAATATAGCAGTGTGAATATCTCACTTGCAATGTGTTAACTGATATTAACAGGACTGTTGATTCTGAGAGTTTTAGAAAAAAATCTTTAAATTACTTTCATTATAAATATGAATCATTATCTAACAAAAGATGATTGTAGAATGCCAGGCCATTTAGTACAGTCACTGAAGAAAATACAGAATTTGTTAGACGTTAAAAATGAAATTTTGTTAAGATAACGCTTTATTTTGCTTCAGTATTATTATTATTGCAATATTTAGAGGAACAATTTTAGCAATTGAGGGAAAGGGGTTAAAAATTTGTCGTTAGGATCAGGAATGGAAGTGTAGGAATATAAATATAAAATTAAACTTATAAAAGAGAATTTTTAATATTCTTTTAAGGATCACTGGTATTTCAGGAGGAACATATGCAACTGATAACTCTCAGTCTCAGAGTCTCAGATAAAGTAATACTGTGAACTTTGTATTAGTGGAGCTTCGAGATTCACCCAGTTAAGAGATAAATCACATCTTTCATTCATATTAGCTTCAGATTTTCTCAAGGAATATGAATAATGGGAGGATTTTTTGCTCTTTTTTATGGTTAATTGGTTCCTTGTGACTATGGGGTCACTTCCTATCATGGATGTAAATCTGTTCTTTTATTGAACTCAATATTGCCCTGCTTAGGTGTTTTTTAGGTTGAATCAATGACTTGAGCATTTGAATTACTTCTAGAAATTAATGTTTGTCCTCTATTATGTGAACCTGGCATTCTAATAATTTAACTTGAAAGAAAATTCTTATGACAGACTTTAAATTTGTCTCTGCTAATAAATGCAAAAGAATTGTTATTAGTATGTAATCTTACACTTATAAATAATTATTATTTCACCTATTTGTGTATAACTAGTGTATTTGGTATTAAATTAAATGTGCAAGAGTTAACATTTTTTATGATCCAATATTTTCAGTCATGACTTGAAGAACATGTGTCGTCTTCTTGGAATGGAGGACTCTGCAGAAGAGATTATCACTCAACTTGGAGTCCATGGCAAGATTTCGTTTGATGAGTTCTGTTTGTGTCGAACCCAACTGATGACTGAGCTGGAACAAGACCGTCTGCAGGCACCTGTCCCTGATATGTCCACTCTCCCCCCCTCTCTGCCCAGTCCAGCCACACCTGATGTTGACCGCCAGCACTGTGTTCAGTCACCATCTTGGAGAACAAGCTCAGAAAACAGCTTAGGTAATGATACATATATATTTTAAGACCAAGATAAGAGACATTCACATTACATGATTTAATATATTTGAAACCAGAGATAAAGCAGGTTTTCAGCCTGATTAACCTTTGGTGTGAGTATACATGTGTTGGATTTCAGCTGGTAATTGCATTACTTGAAGTCTCCTTAATCTCATGTAACCTCAGCTCTTGCTTGAGTTCACCCCAACAAAAGCCACAGTCCTATGAGCATGGCGGTCATGTCATGAAGAATGATGGAGCAATTGATGACCAGATGGCTTTGTTTGATTTGATATCTCTGTTGATTGAAAGTGACATCAATTAATTTTGGTCAGCCCACTTATGTTCATAATGAGGAGATATTGGTCTAGCCAAAGGCCAGTGGCCATAAGGAAGGTATGATGAAATGAAGTGGATGTTTAATTATCAGATAGAGATTTTTGACAATGGAGAGTTGCCAGTGTCAACATTTGTAGATATTACTAAGGAAATTGATTTTGTTTGGGACAGACAAAATTTGAGGATGTGTTTGATTGTGAAGGAAAGAGAAAGTTATGGTAAGATCAAACGAAGAGCTGAAGATTGTGATGGATGTTGTGGCAGACGCTGAACCTGCCTTGCAGCAGACAACCAAGAAGAAAAAGAAAAGAGGACAGAAAGAAAAAAGTTCAGCTTGTTGTTTATTTACTTCATTTGAAAAAGAAATTACTTCATTTTTCCGAAAATTATGCAATAACCTTTCTACATCTTTAATTCCTCTCTCCATTTCTATTATCTCTTATGTGCTCTTGCAGTCATTTTTTCTCGCAACTCTCAGCCTCCGTGTTACAAAAAAAAACATTCTCACAATTTGCCAAACCAAGATTGCTGTCATAAGGTTTTCCTTGAGGCAATGCTAGATTTTTATTGCCATGGCATGTAGCATCACCTCAACCATAATGTATAGTATACTAATATTCTATCTGTGACATGCGTTCATCATTAAACTACTGTTTTAGTGCTTCAACACGTGTTCCTGGTCCTTGTGTTTATGCTGACTTTGGTTGGTATGTATTACATCATGCCAGTCTGGTAAGTGGTTTGTTTTTTTCTTCAGCAGCACAGGGGTGTTATTGTCTGTATTTACTCAGGGTTATCAAATCTTCTCAGAACATACAGAGTGTTTTTATTGTTTTTTTTTAAGGGTTTATTACTCGATCCTTGAAAAAAAATTGCTAGAATTTGTGCTGTAAAACAAAACATGGGCCTCTCTTTACAACTTTGCCAATAATAATGTGAATGTAAAAATTCAGTCTTCTCAAAGAATCTACCTGTAAACATGCCATTTTTATCAATCCTACCAGATGCTGACTCCTAGATTACCGAGCTGCATGTATGTTTACTATTTGTGCTATTTTTGAAGACAGAAATCAGTTGGAAATCAGAATAGAAATATCAATTTTCAAGAAGAGCTTCATCCTGACATGCATCAGAACTGAATTGCAAACACCTGGGAGTCTGTCAGCTACATAACTCAAACTATAGTCGGGTCATAGTTTCCCGCTTTTAGTGCCAACTCAGGTGGATTGGCCATGTTTATGACAGATTTTCTCCAACACCTTCATTGCACTGTGTGTCAAACTGAGTCCAACGTTTATAGTCATTCAATTAGATCTATTTGGATTATGTTATTCAAAATTTGTTTTGTTATATTTATGCATTTCAGCAATGTTGAAATGCATTTGTTTGGTATTTACATTCAAGGCACAGTCATTATGTTCATTAGACTGCTCATTAAATCGTAATGAAACCAGCACATAAGAGAAAAGGTCTGTTATTGTGGTCCCTGAATATTGCCAGTGATTCTGCATTTCACACATACCTCCTTATAATACATAGGTTTTCCTTAATTAGCTGTCAGCATTTTCATGGTTACACTTTATGGGGTCCCACCTCTTCCATGTTTGCCGGCTAGTGATAATTTCTTTTATGAAAATGTCTATGTTTTAGGAAGGTAAAGTTTGTAGGTTTTCTTGTAAATGATAGTATTGTTGGGTTTCACAGGTTAGTGTTTAGTTTTCAGCCAATTTTTACTCGTTCTTTCCCAAAACTATATGAATTACAACAGTGACAGCAATGACCATAACTGAAAAACTCCCGTACCAATTTCACATCCATGCCCTTTTTGTACTTTTAAATTTATTATGGCTTTTAAGTCATATGTGTGATATAAGGGAATAATTGGGTGTAATCCATTTTTTTAACAGTTTTTAGAAAATTCCAGTTATATTAAGACAGAAATTGTGAAACTGGCATGTTTCTGGTTCATCCCTCCCCGCACTATGCAAGCCTCTTGGAAAATATCCCATATTCAGTAAATGCACAGGTTAGGTAACAATAGTGATAGCTTCAGGAAACTATCCCTTGTATTTGAATGACTGCTATTGTACAAAAAAATCTTTGAATCATGGTGTATCACTGTTGTAGGTCTGTTAATCTCAGAGATACACCATCCATCAATGGTAAATAAAAGGAATACCTTTCATTTGAATTGCTGTCAAGTCGGCAATTCAAATTAAGTGGCTACAGGTGACAGGCACTCTTTTGATACATCTTTTTTATCTTGGATCAACTTTGACTCCTGTAGGTTCTAGTTACCTTTGATACCTAAGGCTGTGTGGTCAGAATACCATAATACTGCTATGTGGCAGTAACATGACACACTGTTCTTGTTCTTTTTGGCACCCTTTGGCTTTTTATTATATGCAGTAACTACATGCCTTGGCATTAAGTGAGCCACCAGTGTTTGTCACTAATAGTTTTATGTAAAGACAAGACATTTCCCTTGGCTTTTATTGAGCTCTTGTATTTTGTAATGATCATTTAAGTGTTTAATTTAATATATATACTTTTCTGTTTGCAAACAATATGTGTATTACAAATACAGCACAAATAAAGTTAGATGTGATAAAGATGTGACAAATTTCATTGGTTATTTTGTTTAGGATTTTTTTTACCACCCATATTATTCACCAGAATCTCTCATTGGTTGCGAAATAAATGTCCCAATAAAACTTTCCCTCTCACCTACACATACAGAGAGAGAGAGGCTCAACACTGTGCATTTGGGAAGTAGCCTTGTAATTCATCCACAATTTGTAAATGATACATTTTTGTGTCTGCTTTTGATTGGATACAGCTTCAGGTGACACTGACAGCAGTGCAGTGTGACATTGGGACGAGTGAGGACCACAGGGAAATCTGGCACCAATTTGATAAGCGTGTTATTCTAGGGTTGTCTGACTGTAGGAACCTATACTTGTTCCACATCGCTTATTTTAAATGACTGCTGTGTGGATATTTTGTCCACTTTGGAAGTGTGTTATTCTTGTCTACTACCTAGATTTCTCATTTTGTCAGTTTCAAATTCAAGGATTATTACTGAACATGACCCTGTACCACTAATGCGAGTGCTGATGTCTGGTTGCTGATTTTGTTTGTATACACTGATGTTATTGTTTTGTAGATTGAACACTTGACATGGTTTTATTTACAGGTGTCTCTTTTTACCTGTAACAGATGATGATTTATTCACACCATTTTCTCTTTAGCAGTCTGAAAAGTATTTAAAAAAAAACAATTGAACAGCATGAATAAATTGTGATGCTTCCAATAGCTCTGGATATAAGGACAGAAAAGTACTTTATTAAATGTTGCATGCCAAAATAGCAACCAAGTACCCTGCTAGATTTAACATCATTAAGCTGCATTATATCTGGGAGGTGGACAGGTGTTTGTGACTTTTTCCCAGCATGTTATCGCAGAAATTACTCGCCAGATCTTGAACTCATGTGAGTTATAGAGAACACCTCTCATGTGCAGTGTGTGGAATGCAGGACTGCATGTTTTAGTATGAATTAGGTTCTGGTTTTGATTGTAAGATTCATTATAAGATTAAATGAGCTATGTCTTGCGGTGAATAATGCAAATTCTGTGCATTTTGTATAATTTGCCTTTTATGCAAAATGAAGCTTTGAGCGAATATTAACAAAAATATTTAATAAATACTTGCTGATTTAGTTTCCAGAATAATGTAATATTTTTTATTAGTTGAGTGTGAAATTGCCTTCAGTTCACAAGGGTACAGATGATGTGTTCTGTAGTTTGACAAACTGACCAAAAGGGGTCTCATGGTTGCTTGTTTTTCCCAAGAAAAGCCTGGCATTTAAAGTGAAAGAAAGTTACCTTGGAATGATCTTTTATCAAAGCCTTGCCAACGTGCCCTATCATCACCCACAAGAAAAAGCACACTCCTGCAGTCAGTTTGCTGAGAAGTAAATAAATTTAGTAAAAATATGCCTTTTCAAGATACAGTTAAAATAATCAACTCTTTTAAGAATCACTTAATCCCTTGTGGTTACATCTACCCCCAAGAGTTTTTTTTTTTTTTTTTTTTTTTTTTTTTTACATGTGTGTGTATACAACCATGGCATGCGGATAACATAGAAACCGACAGGTTTATGCAATAAAAATCATTTTATCTTCTGGGATGGTATTTTGACAGGTCATAGATTTAGCTTCAACTGGTTTTCTTCCTGGTCATAATGAGCTGACCTGGGTGAATTAAAGGCCACTTGACAGCATAACTTTCATAAAACATTAAATAGGGATGTGGAAAGAGTAAAAAATTGTCAATGTTATCAGCTGAAACACAACCATGATTACAAAAGCAGATATTTATTAACTCCTTGTCAGTACGTTTGCAATTCTGGCTGTTGCTCCAAAAAAGATGAAAAAGGGATTAAACTGCGCTGCATTGGTTGAAGTTTGAATTCGTTGAAGGAAGTGCTCTTTCTAAAGGAACTTGACTAAACTTTGCAAGTGTTCTTTTTAACAGAGATTTTCCAAGCCAGCAAGTTTTCTAGGTGGTGCTCTGCTAAATCACAAGCTTGACCTCAGCATAATAAGCCGTATGAAGAGAACAAGAGATTTCCCAGAACTTTTCAAGTGCTTTGAGCGGTTTCATAAGTGATTTTATTGACAGCAAACACTTTTAGAGGTTGCCATGTCAAGCTGCCACTTCCGACTCCCCAATTTGAAGCATTAAGTCATCTAAGTTCACGTCTTCATAACTTTTCTGAAGAGATTTTGTTCATTAGAATAGTTTTGTCTGGACATGCTGTTTTTCACCATGGGGCATTTGTCCACAGAAATGTGCTTTGTGGGCTGATGATTGGACTGTATCTTAAAAAGAACCAAAGGATTGTTGATACAGAGGCAGCCATTCAAAAATCATAATTATACATTTTGAGATCCTAATTGGATGTCTTGGAATACTGCAGGTTGACAATTCATTTCAAATTAAGGAAAATTATTTAAAATGTTAAAAAAAAAATGTTTTCACATTCTTTTTTTTAGAAAAATACCTTAAATGCCAGAAATTTTTCTTCAGAGTTGTTTTATGATTATAATAACAAAAACTTTCAAGGATTTGACAGAATCAGTTGATGGAACGGATTAGATTTTGTGTTCTGTAACATTGGTGTCAAGTCAAGGGGTAATGCCATCACTCGTGTACAGCCAAGTCTGTAACATTGGTATATAATAGTAAGTGTGGTTTTTGAACAATTGAGTTTTTTTTTTTTTTTTTTTTTGGGGGGGGGGGATACTTCATAATTATCCTGCTAAACTAGCATTACATTTTAATTCCTAGTATTTGGGTGTGGAAGTGAAAAGACTGTAAACACCATATAATGTCACATTTAATTGCATTGAATCAAATATCTAAAGGGACATTTATTTCCTTCTTAGTGACTATTTGTTTTCTTCGATTGCAGCAAACTTTACTCTTTTCGCATGGTTAGAAGCTTCATGTATTAATGTGAAAATGGTATAGGCCTTGAAGTACTAGTGATTAGAATGTTGTTTTCAGACTGTGTGAGTTTGCTTGAAGCCAATATAGTAACTTTCATTCTTTGCATTTTCAATCCCAGTGTTAGGATCAGTTTCAAAGTATATTTTCACTTCTATTTATGAAGACATAATTACCAATTTGAAAGAAAATAGGGAAAACATTAGGCTAAAAAATTACATATACAGCCTGTTATAATTAACAAACATTGTGAATATGGGATGAGAGGAAAATGAAATGTGTGTGTATTTAATTGAGATATCTTGACTTCTTTGTGGAATTTTAATATGAGTCTCTTGCCTTTTTTTCAATGCATTAATATATACGCTCCTTACAAATCAATAGCTTGCAGTTATTCCTCCCTAAATCGACAACCCACAACTAAATTTAAGCAGACTTGCAAACACACAGGACCCATAGAGAACTTACTTGTGTGTGTAATCCATTGCTTTGGGTCCCAGTTGTATGTATTGACTAGAGCCATGAAAAGGCTGTGTAATACCAGATCATTGTTTTATGGTCCTACATTGTTGAAAACAGAATGATAAGCTAGTGGTTTATATTAGACTTAAAGGAAACTTGGATTACAATGTGGCTGTCTTGTTTCCCATCAGCAGGTAGATCAGAGATGATACAAGTTCATACAGGTATGCCGATTGATAACACCAGTGTTTTCACTCGATTTTGTTTTTGACAGTCATTTAAGATCTATAGTAGAAAAATAGGTCTCATCTCAAAGTGATTGGCAGTACCAAAGTTAAAATTGAAGGTTGTTTTGTGCAAGATGTGTCATGGGGTTCAGAAGGATGTACTACTAGAAAAACTGAATTTCACAAGTAAATAACAGCAGCTGTAAGTTCCAAAGATGAGTGCTGTTGGTTTAGTTAGGATTTTAATTTTTGCTAATAAAGATTTAAAATCTTTTTTCTTAGATTAAGTTACAGTTGAGTTTTTTCCCATTTATAAGTTTCTTTTGGTTTAGGGAAAAAATTGAAAGGCCAAGGTGAGCTAAAGTGATCTTTTTCCTTCTGGTATTTTCTACTCAGTACTATTGTACTAGATGAGTTACTTAACATGCAACAGTTTTCTGAATCATGTGCAGTCTGGAGTGTCAAGTGTCGCATAAACCACGTGCAACAAAAGGTTAAAGTTGTAACGGAGTTGTGGCACGTGATACCTGAACATGTGGTGCTTATTATGTAAACCACTGTTTTTGTGCAGGAGAGTTTTTCAAAGTGGCTAATCCTATGGCAGCTAAGTTTGTGATCAGGTGGAAAGTTATATCATCGTGCACATGTTTTTTTATTCTTAGGACTTGCAGAGTTAGATAACACACCTACAGACCTAACTTCTGCTATAAAAGCCCATGGAAATCATACGGTCTTTTTACTTTCTGATAATGTTTAGAGAGAGCAGGACTAGTCATAATAGTCTGTTGGTGTTTCACTTTGGCAGATATTTTATGCAGCCTTCCAGATGCGTGAACGTGGATGAAATAGCAAAAATTGGAATATTTTTTTCTTTTGATGTTTCTCAGATGATATCAATACTATTGTATTGCAGCTTCAAACAGAATTGCAGAAAATTTTAATCAGATCACTCTATATGTTTGTCAAATAGTGTTTGCAAAATTGTGTATTGACATAGGTTTATGACACGCAGTCATGCCTACAAGCATACATGCACATACACACACATGTACACTTACATATACACATGACAGGTACACAGACCATATGTGTCCAGTGGTGTTTCATCTGTAATAATGTCTATTAGAGAATGTAGCTAATTTTATTTTTCTGTCATCCCAGTGTCAGGAGGAGGCAAGCCAGAGAGCCTGGACTATGACAGTGGTGCTCAAGATCTGCACCTGGAACCCACCAGTCTTCAGCGCCTCATAGAGCACCACAACCCGGGAGTCATCTCAGAGCTCATGGAGAACCCCAGGGGGCAGCACAGTCAGGAGGCGGCCTCACACTTTCTGGAAATTGCCAACTCGGTGAGTTTTTATCCCCAGCTTTTCTCTTTACTCTACCTTTTTATCTACAGTCAGTACATTTGGAACTTTGTTGAAAAATGTAATGGAAACATGAAAATGCTTTTTAAGACCATTACTATGTTCCAAACACTAAAAATAGTACCAGTCTGGCCACAAAGCTATTGACTCAACTGTGTACAGCTATTTTTCATTCTGAATTCCAAATTGGATTATAGTCTATTGTATTGTGATATTGA